GATGGAAAGCGGGAGAATGGGGCGGGGTGATGGAAAGCGGGAGAATGGGGCGGGGTGATGGAAAGAGGGAAAATGGGGCGTGGTGATGGAAAGCGGGAGAATTGGGCAGGGTGATGGAAAGCGGGAGAATGGAGCAGGGTGTTGGAAAGCGGGAGAATGGGGCGGGGTGATGGAAAGAGGGAGAATTGGGCGGGGTGATGGAAAACGGGAGAATGGAGCGGGGTGATGGAAAGAGGGAGAACGGGGCGGGGTGATGGAAAGCGGGAGAATGGGGCGGGGTGATGGAAAGAGGGAGAATGGGGCGTGGTGATGGAAAGCGGGAGAATGGGGCGGGGTGATGGAAAGAGGGAGAATGGGGCGGGGTGATGGAAAGAGGGAAATGGGGCGTGGTGATGGAAAGCGGGAGAATGGGGCGGGGTGATGGAAAGAGGGAGAATGGGGAGGGGTGATGGAAAGAGGGAGAATTGGGCGGGGTGATGGAAAGCGGGGGAATGGAGCGGGGTGATGGAACGAGGGAAAATGGGGTGGGGTGAAAGAATGCGGGAGAATGGGGCGGGGTGATGGAAAGAGGGAGAATAAAGCGGGGTGATGGAAAGCGGGAGAATGGGGCGGGGTGATGGAAAGCGGGAGAATGAGGCTGGGTGATGGAAAGAGGGAGAACGGGGCGGGGTGATGGAAAGCGGGAGAGTGGGGTGGGGTGATGGAAAGCGGGAGAATGGGGCGGGGTGATGGAAAGCGGGAGAATGGGGCGGGGTGATGGAAATCGGGAAAATGGGGCGGGGTGATGGAAAGCGGGAGAATGGGGTGGGGTGAAGGAAAGAGGGAGAATGGGGCGGGGTGATGGAAGGCGGGAGAATGGGGCGGGGTGATGGAAAGGGGGAGAATTGGGCAGGGTGATGGAAAGATGGCGAATGGGGCGGGGTGATGGAAGGCGGGAGAATGGGGCGGGGTGATGGAAAGAGGGAGAATGGGGCGGGGTGATAGAAAGCAGGAGAATTGGGCGGGGTGATGGAAAGAGGGAGAATGGGAGGGGTGATGGAAAGAGTGAGAATGGGGTGGGGTGATGGAAAGCGGGAGAATGGGGTAGGGTGTTGGAAAGCGGGAGAATGGGGCGGGGTGATGGAAATCGGGAGAATGGGGCGGGGTGATGGAAAGCGGTGAATGGGGCGGGGTGATGGAAATCGGAAGAATGGGGCGGGGTGATGGAAAGCGGGAGAATAAGGCGGGGTGATGGAAAGTGAGAGAATGGGGCGGGGTGATGGAAAACGGGAGAATGGGATGGGGTGATGGAAAGTGGGAGAATTGGGCGGGGTGATGGATAGAGGGAGAATGGGGCGGGGTGATGGAAAGCGGGAGAATGGGGCGGGGTGATGGAAAGAGAGAGAACGGGGTGGGGTGATGGAAAGCGTGAGAATGGGGCGGGGTGATGGAAAGAGGGAGAATGGGGCGGGGTGATGGAAGGCGGGAGAATTGGGCGGGGTGATGGAAAGCGGGAGAATTGGGCGGGGTGATGGAAAGCGGGAGAATGGGGCGGGGTGATGAAAGGCGGGAGAATGGGGCGGGGTGATGGAAAGAGGGAAAATGGAGAGAGGTGATAGAAAGAGGGAGAATTGGGCGGGGTGATGGAAAGCGGGAGAATGGAGCGGGGTGATCGAAAGCGATAGAATGGGGCGGGGTGATGGAAAGCGGGAGAATGGGGCGGGGTGATGGAAAGAGGGAAAATGGGGCGTGGTGATGGAAAGAGGGAGAATGTGGCTTGGTGATGGAAAGCGGGAGAATGGGGCGGGGTGATGGAAAGAGGGAGAATGGGGCGGGGTGATGGAAAGCGGGAGAATGGGGCGGGGTGATGGATAGAGGGAGAATGGGGCGGGGTGATGAAAAGAGGGAGAATGGGGCGGGGTGATGGAAAGCGGGAGAATGGGGCGGGGTGATGGAAAGAGGGAGAATGGGGAGGGGTGATGGAAAGAGGGAGAATTGGGCGGGGTGATGGAAAGCGGGAGAATGGGGCGGGGTGATGGAGAATGGGGCGGGGTGATGGAAGGAGGGAGAATGAGGCGGGGTGATGGAAGGAGGGAGAATGGGGCGGGGTGATGGAAAGTGGGAGAATGGGTCGGGGTGATGGAAAGCGGGAGAATGGGGCGGAGTGATGGAAAGCGGGAGAATGGGGCGGGGTGATGGAAAGCGGGAGAATGGGGCGGGATGATGGAAGGCGGGAGAATGGAGCGGGGTAATGGAAAGCAGGAGAATGGGGCGGGGTGATGGAAAGCGGGAGAATGGGGCGGGTGATGGAAAGCGGGTGAATGAGGCAGGGTGATGGAAAGCAGGAGAATGGGGCGGGGTGATTGAAAGCAAAAGAATGGGGCGGGGTGATGGAAAGCGGGAGAATGGGGCGAGGTGATGGAAAGCAGGAGAATGGGGCGGGTGATGGAAAGCGGAAGAATGGGGCGGGGTGATGGAAGGAGGGAGAATGGGGAGGGGTGATGGAAAGCGGTGGAATGGGACGGGATGATGGGAAGCAGAAGAATGGGGCGGGGTGATGGAAAGCGGGAGAATGGGGCGGGGTGATGGAAAGCGGGAGAATGGGGCGGGGAGATGGAAAGCGGGAAAAAGGGGCGGGATGATGGAAAGCGGGAGAATGGGGCGGGCTGATGGAAAGCAGGAGAATGGGGCGGGGTGATGGAAGGAGGGAGAATGGGGCGGGGTGATGGAAGGAGAGAGAAGGGGGCGAGGTGATGGATAGTGGGAAAATGTGGCGGGGTGATGGAAAGCGGGAGAATGGGGTGGGGTTATGGGAAGCGGGAGAATGGGGCGGGGTGATGGAAAGTGGGAGAATGGGGCGGGGTGATGGAATGAGGGAGAATGGGGCGGGGTGATGGAAGGAGGGAGAATGGGGCGGGGTGATGGAAAGCGGGAGAATGGGGCGGGGTGATGGAAAGAGGGAGAATGGGGCGGGGTGATGGAAAGCGGGAGAATGAGGCGGCGTGATGGAAAGCGGGAGAATGGGGCGGGGTGATGGAAAGTGAGAGAATGGGGCGGGGTGATGGAAGGAGGGAGAATGGGGAGGGGTGATGGAAAGCAGGGGAATGGGGCGAGATGATGGGAAGCGGAAGAATGGGGCGGGGTGATGGAAAGCGGGAGAATGGGGCGGGGTGATGGAAAGCGGGAGAATGGGGCGGGGAGATGGAAAGCGAGAGAAAGGGGAGGGGTGATGGAAAGCGGGAGAATGGGGCGGGGTGATGGAAAGCGGGAGAATGGGGCGGGCTGATGGAAAGCGGGAGAATGGGGCGGGGTGATGGAAGGAGGGAGAATGGGGCGGGGTGATGGAAGGAGAGAGAAGGGGGCGGGATGATGGAAAGTGGGAGAATGTGGCGGGGTGATGGAAAGCGGGAGAATGGGGTGGGGTTATGGGAAGCGGGAGAATGAGGCGGGGTGATGGAAAGCGGGAGAATGGGGCGGGGTGATGGAAGGAGGGAGAATGGGGCGGGGTGATGGAAGGAGGGAGAATGGGGCGGGGTGATGGAAGGTGGGATAATGGGGCAGAGTGATGGAAAGCGGGAGAATGGGGCGGGGTGATGGAAAGCGGGAAAATGGGGCGAGGTGATGGAAAGCGACAGAATGGGGCGGGGTGATGGAAGGAGGGAGAATGGGGAGGGGTGATGGAAAGCGGGGAAATGGGGCGGGATGATGGGAAGCGGAAGAATGGGGCGGGGTGATGGAAGGAGGGAGAATGGGGCGGGGTGATGGAAAGCGGGAGAATGGGGCGGGGTGATGGAAATCGGGAGAATGGGGCGGGGTGATGGAAAGCGGGAGAATGGGGCAGGTTCATGGAAGGAGGGAGAATGGGGCGGGGTGATAGAAAGCAGGAGAATGTGGCGGGGTGATGGAAAGCGGGAGAATGGGGTGGGGTTATGGGAAGCGGGAGAATGGGGCGGGGTGATGGAAAGCGGGAGAATGGGGCGGGGTGATAGAAGGAGGGAGAATGGGGCGGGGTGATGGAAGGAGGGAGAATGGGGCGGGGTGATGGAAAGCGGGAGAATGGGGCGGGGTGATGGAAGGAGGGAGAATGGGGCGGGGTGATGGAAGGAGGGAGAATGGGGTGGGGTGATGGAAAGCGGGAGAATGGGGCGGGGTGTTGGAAAGCGGGAGAATGGGGATGGGTGATGGAAAGCAGGAGAATGGGGCGGGGTGATGGAAAGCGGGAGAATGGGGCGGGGTGATGGAAGGAGGGAGAATGGGGCGCGGTGATTGAAAGCGGGAGATTGGGGCAGGGTGATGGAAAGCGGGAGAATGGGGCGGGGTGATGGAAAGCGGGAGAATGGGGCGGGGTGATGGAAGGAGGGAGAATGAGGCAGGGTGATGGAAGGAGGGAGAATGGGGCGGGGTGATGGAAAGTGGGAGAATGGGTTGGGGTGATGGAAAGCGGGAGAATGGGCCGGAGTGATGGAAAGCGGGAGAATGGGGCGGGGTGATGGAAAGCGGGAGAATAGGGCGGGGTGATTGAAAGCGGGAGAATGGAGCGGGGTGATGGAAAGCGGGAGAATGGCGCGGGGTGATGGAAAGCGGGAGAATGGGGCGGGTGATAGAAAGCTGGTGAATGGGGCAGGGTGATGGAAAGCGGGAGAATGGGGCGGGGTGATGGAAAGCAAAAGAATGGGGCGGGGTGATGGAAAGCGGGAGAATGGGGCGAGGTGATGGAAAGCGGGAGGATTGGGCGGGTGATGGAAAGCGGAAGAATGGGGCGGGGTGATGGAAGGAGGGAGAATGGGGCAGGGTGATGGAAGGAGAGAGAAGGGGGCGGGATGATGGAAAGTGGGAAAATGTGGCGGGGTGATGGAAAGCGGTAGAATAGGGTGGGGTTATGGGAAGCGGGAGAATGGGGCGGGGTGATGGAAAGCGGGAGAATGGAGCGGGGTGATGGAATGAGGGAGAATGGGGCAGGGTGATGGAAGGAGGGAGAATGGGGCTGGGTGATAGAAAGCGGGAGAATGGGGCGGGGTGACGGAAGGAGGGAGAATGGGGCGGGGTGATGGAAAGCGGGAGAATGGGGCGGGGTGATGGAAAGCGGGAGAACGGGGCGGGGTGATGGAAAGTGAGAGAATGGGGCGGAATGATGGAAGGAGGGAGAATGGGGAGGGGTGATGGAAAGCGGGGGAATGGTGCGGGATGATGGGAAGCGGAAGAATGGGGCGGGGTGATGGAAAGCGGGAGAATGGGGCGGGGTGATGGAAAGCGGGAGAATGGGGCGGGGAGATGGAAAGCGGGAGAAAAGGGAGGGGTGATGGAGAGCGGGAGAATGGGGCAGGCTGATGAAAAGCGGGAGAATGGGGCGGGGTGATGGAAGGAGGGAGAATGGGGCGGGGTGATGGAAGGAGAGAGAATGGGGCGGGGTGATGGAAAGTGGGAGAATGTGGCGGGGTGATGGAAAGCGGGAGAATGGGGTGGGGTTATGGGAAGCAGGAGAATGGGGCGGGGTGATGGAAAGCGGGAGAATGGGGCGGGGTGATGGAAGGAGGGAGAATGGGGCGGGGTGATGGAAAGCGGGAGAATGGGGCGGGGTGATGGAAGGAGGGATAATGGGGCAGAGTGATGGAAAGCGGGAGAATGGGGCGGGGTGATGGAAAGCGGGAAAATGGGGCGAGGTGATGGAAAGCGAGAGAATGGGGCGGGGTGATGGAAGGAGGGAGAATGGGGAGGGGTGATGGAAAGCGGGAGAATGGGGCGGGGTAATGGAAAGCAGGAGAATGGGGCGGGGTGATGGAAAGCGGGTGAATGAGGCAGGGTGATGGAAAGCCGGAGAATGGGGCGGGGTGATTGAAAGCAAAAGAATGGGGCGGGGTGATGGAAAGCGGGAGAATGGGGCGAGGTGATGGAAAGCGGGAGAATGGGGCGGGTGATGGAAAGCGGAAGAATGGGGCGGGGTGATGGAAGGAGGGAGAATGGGGAGGGGTGATGGAAAGCGGTGGAATGGGGCGGGATGATGGGAAGCAGAAGAATGGGGCGGGGTGATGGAAAGCGGGAGAATGGGGCGGGGTGATGGAAAGCGGGAGAACGGGGCGGGGTGATGGAAAGTGAGAGAATGGGGCGGGGTGATGGAAGGAGGGAGAATGGGGAGGGGTGATGGAAAGCAGGGGAATGGGGCGAGATGATGGGAAGCGGAAGAATGGGGCGGGGTGATGGAAAGCGGGAGAATGGGGCGGGGTGATGGAAAGCGGGAGAATGGGGCGGGGAGATGGAAAGCGAGAGAAAGGGGAGGGGTGATGGAAAGCGGGAGAATGGGGCGGGGTGATGGAAAGCGGGAGAATGGGGCGGGCTGAAGGAAAGCGGGAGAATGGGGCGGGGTGATGGAAGGAGGGAGAATGGGGCGGGGTGATGGAAGGAGAGAGAAGGGGGCGGGATGATGGAAAGTGTGAGAATGTGGCGGGGTGATGGAAAGCGGGAGAATGGGGTGGGGTTATGGGAAGCGGGAGAATGAGGCGGGGTGATGGAAAGCGGGAGAATGGGGCGGGGTGATGGAAGGAGGGAGAATGGGGCGGGGTGATGGAAGGAGGGAGAATGGGGCGGGGTGATGGAAGGAGGGATGATGGGGCAGAGTGATGGAAAGCGGGAGAATGGGGCGGGGTGATGGAAAGCGGGAAAATGGGGCGAGGTGATGGAAAGCGAGAGAATGGGGCGGGGTGATGGAAGGAGGGAGAATGGGGAGGGGTGATGGAAAGCGGGGAAATGGGGCGGGATGATGGGAAGCGGAAGAATGGGGCGGGGTGATGGAAGGAGGGAGAATGGGGCGGGATGATGGAAAGCGGGAGAATGGGGCGGGGTGATGGAAAGCGGGAGAATGGGGCGGGGAGATGGAAAGCGGGAGAAAAGGGAGGGGTGATGGAGAGCGGGAGAATGGGGCGGGGTGATGGAAAGCGGGAGAATGGGGCGGGGTGATGGAAGGAGGGAGAATGGGGCGGGGTGATGGAAAGCGGGAGAATGGGGCGGGGGTGATGGAAGGAGGGATAATGGGGCAGAGTGATGGAAAGCGGGAGAATGGGGCGGGGTGATGGAAAGCGGGAAAATGGGGCGAGGTGATGCAAAGCGAGAGAATGGGGCGGGGTGATGGAAGGAGGGAGAATGGGGAGGGGTGATGGAAAGCGGGAGAATGGGGCGGGGTGATGGAAAGCGGGAGAATGGGGCGGGGAGATGGAAAGCGGGAGAAAAGGGAGGGGTGATGGAGAGCGGGAGAATGGGGCAGGCTGATGAAAAGCGGGAGAATGGGGCGGGGTGATGGAAGGAGGGAGAATGGGGCGGGGTGATGGAAGGAGAGAGAAGGGGGCGGGGTGATGGAAAGTGGGAGAATGTGGCGGGGTGATGGAAAGCGGGAGAATGGGGTGGGGTTATGGGAAGCAGGAGAATGGGGCGGGGTGATGGAAAGCGGGAGAATGGGGCGGGGTGATGGAAGGAGGGAGAATGGGGCGGGGTGATGGAAAGCGGGAGAATGGGGCGGGGTGATGGAAGGAGGGATAATGGGGCAGAGTGATGGAAAGCGGGAGAATGGGGCGGGGTGATGGAAAGCGGGAAAATGGGGCGAGGTGATGGAAAGCGAGAGAATGGGGCGGGGTGATGGAAGGAGGGAGAATGGGGAGGGGTGATGGAAAGCGGGAGAATGGGGCGGGGTAATGGAAAGCAGGAGAATGGGGCGGGGTGATGGAAAGCGGGTGAATGAGGCAGGGTGATGGAAAGCCGGAGAATGGGGCGGGGTGATTGAAAGCAAAAGAATGGGGCGGGGTGATGGAAAGCGGGAGAATGGGGCGAGGTGATGGAAAGCGGGAGAATGGGGCGGGTGATGGAAAGCGGAAGAATGGGGCGGGGTGATGGAAGGAGGGAGAATGGGGAGGGGTGATGGAAAGCGGTGGAATGGGGCGGGATGATGGGAAGCAGAAGAATGGGGCGGGGTGATGGAAAGCGGGAGAATGGGGCGGGGTGATGGAAAGCGGGAGAACGGGGCGGGGTGATGGAAAGTGAGAGAATGGGGCGGGGTGATGGAAGGAGGGAGAATGGGGAGGGGTGATGGAAAGCAGGGGAATGGGGCGAGATGATGGGAAGCGGAAGAATGGGGCGGGGTGATGGAAAGCGGGAGAATGGGGCGGGGTGATGGAAAGCGGGAGAATGGGGCGGGGAGATGGAAAGCGAGAGAAAGGGGAGGGGTGATGGAAAGCGGGAGAATGGGGCGGGGTGATGGAAAGCGGGAGAATGGGGCGGGCTGAAGGAAAGCGGGAGAATGGGGCGGGGTGATGGAAGGAGGGAGAATGGGGCGGGGTGATGGAAGGAGAGAGAAGGGGGCGGGATGATGGAAAGTGTGAGAATGTGGCGGGGTGATGGAAAGCGGGAGAATGGGGTGGGGTTATGGGAAGCGGGAGAATGAGGCGGGGTGATGGAAAGCGGGAGAATGGGGCGGGGTGATGGAAGGAGGGAGAATGGGGCGGGGTGATGGAAGGAGGGAGAATGGGGCGGGGTGATGGAAGGAGGGATGATGGGGCAGAGTGATGGAAAGCGGGAGAATGGGGCGGGGTGATGGAAAGCGGGAAAATGGGGCGAGGTGATGGAAAGCGAGAGAATGGGGCGGGGTGATGGAAGGAGGGAGAATGGGGAGGGGTGATGGAAAGCGGGGAAATGGGGCGGGATGATGGGAAGCGGAAGAATGGGGCGGGGTGATGGAAGGAGGGAGAATGGGGCGGGATGATGGAAAGCGGGAGAATGGGGCGGGGTGATGGAAAGCGGGAGAATGGGGCGGGGTGATGGAAATCGGGAGAATGGGGCGGGGTGATGGAAAGCGGGAGAATGGGGCAGGTTCATGGAAGGAGGGAGAATGGGGCGGGGTGATAGAAAGCAGGAGAATGTGGCGGGGTGATGGAAAGCGGGGAATGGGGTGGGGTTATGGGAAGCGGGAGAATGGGGCGGGGTGATGGAAAGCGGGAGAATGGGGCGGGGTGATAGAAGGAGGGAGAATGGGGCGGGGTGATGGAAGGAGGGAGAATGGGGCGGGGTGATGGAAAGCGGGAGAATGGGGCGGGGTGATGGAAGGAGGGAGAATGGGGCGGGGTGATGGAAGGAGGGAGAATGGGGTGGGGTGATGGAAAGCGGGAGAATGGGGCGGGGTGTTGGAAAGCGGGAGAATGGGGATGGGTGATGGAAAGCAGGAGAATGGGGTGGGGTGATGGAAAGCGGGAGAATGGGGCGGGGTGATGGAAGGAGGGAGAATGGGGCGCGGTGATTGAAAGCGGGAGATTGGGGCAGGGTGATGGAAAGCGGGAGAATGGGGCGGGGTGATGGAAAGCGGGAGAATGGGGCTGGGTGATGGAAAGCGGGAGAATGGGGCGGGGTGATGGAAAGCGGGAGAATGGGGCGGGGTGATGGAAGGAGGGAGAATGAGGCAGGGTGATGGAAGGAGGGAGAATGGGGCGGGGTGATGGAAAGTGGGAGAATGGGTCGGGGTGATGGAAAGCGGGAGAATGGGCCGGAGTGATGGAAAGTGGGAGAATGGGGCGGGGTGATGGAAAGCGGGAGAATGGGGCGGGGTGATGGAAAGCGGGAGAATGGAGCGGGGTGATGGAAAGCGGGAGAATGGGGCGGGGTGATGGAAAGCGGGAGAATGGGGCGGGTGATAGAAAGCTGGTGAATGGGGCAGGGTGATGGAAAGCGGGAGAATGGGGCGGGGTGATGGAAAGCAAAAGAATGGGGCGGGGTGATGGAAAGCGGGAGAATGGGGCGAGGTGATGGAAAGCAAGACAATTGGGCGGGTGATGGAAAGCGGAAGAATGGGGCGGGGTGATGGAAGGAGGGAGAATGGGGCAGGGTGATGGAAGGAGAGAGAAGGGGGCGGGATGATGGAAAGTGGGAAAATGTGGCGGGGTGATGGAAAGCGGGAGAATAGGGTGGGGTTATGGGAAGCGGGAGAATGGGGCGGGGTGATGGAAAGCGGGAGAATGGAGCGGGGTGATGGAATGAGGGAGAATGGGGCAGGGTGATGGAAGGAGGGAGAATGGGGCTGGGTGATAGAAAGCGGGAGAATGGGGCGGGGTGATGGAAGGAGGGAGAATGGGGCGGGGTGATGGAAAGCGGGAGAATGGGGCGGGTTGATGGAAAGCGGGAGAACGGGGCGGGGTGATTGAAAGTGAGAGAATGGGGCGGGGTGATGGAAGGAGGGAGAATGGGGAGGGGTGATGGAAAGCGGGGGAATGGGGCGGGATGATGGGAAGTGGAAGAATGGGGCGGGGTGATGGAAAGCGGGAGAATGGGGCGGGGTGATGGAAAGCGGGAGAATGGGGCGGGGAGATGGAATGCGGGAGAAAGGGGAGGGGTGATGGAAAGCGGGAGAATGGGGCGGGCTGATGGAAAGCGGGAGAATGGGGCGGGGTGATGGAAGGAGGGAGAATGGGGCGGGGTGATGGAAGGAGAGAGAAGGGGGCGGGGTGATGGAAAATGGGAGAATGTGGCGGGGTGATGGAAAGCGGAAGAATGGGGTGGGGATATGGGAAGCGGGAGAATGGGGCGGGGTGATCGAAAGCGGGAGAATGGGGCGGGGTGATGGAAGGAGGGAGAATGGGGCGGAGTGATGGAAAGCGGGAGAATGGGGCGGGGTGATGGAAGGAGGGAGAATGGGGCGGGATGATGGAAAGCGGGAGAATGGGGCGGGGTGATGGAAAGCGGGAGAATGGGGCGGGTTGATGGAAAGCGGGAGAATGGGGCGGGGTGATGGAAATCGGGAGAATGGGGCGGGGTGATGGAAAGCGGGAGAATGGGGCGGGGTGATGGAAGGAGGGAGAATGGGGAGGGGTGATAGAAAGCGGGAGAATGTGGCGGGGTGATGGAAAGCGGGAGAAGGGGGTGGGGTTATGGGAAGCGGGAAAAACAGGGCGGGGTGATGGAAAGCGGGAGAATGGGGCGGGGTGATGGAAGGAGGGAGAATGGGGCGAGGTGATGGAAGGAGGGAGAATGGGGCGGGGTGATGGAAAGCGGGAGAATGGGGCGGGGTGATGGAAGGAGGGAGAATGGGGCGGGGTGATGGAAAGCGGGAGAATGGGGCGGGGTGATGGAAAGCGGGAGATTGGGGCGGGGTGATGGAAAGCGAAAAAATGGGGCGGGATGATGGAAAGCGGGAGAATGGGGCTAAGTGATGGAAAGCGGGACAATTGGGCGGGGTGATGGAAAGCGGGAGAATGGGGCGGGTTGATGGAAGGAGGGAGAATGAGGCGGGGTGATGGAAGGAGGGAGAATGGGGCGGGGTGATGGAAAGCGGGAGAATGGGGCGGAGTGACGGAAAGTGGGAGAATGGGGCGGGGTGATGGAAAGCGGGAGAATGGTGCGGGGTGATGGAAAGCGGGAGAATGGGGCGGGGTGATGGAAACCGGGAGAAAGGGGCGGGGTGATGGAAAGCGGGAGAATGGGGCGGGCTGATGGAAAGCGGGAGAATGGGGCGGGGTGATGGAAGGAGGGAGAATGAGGCTGGGTGATGGAAGGAGAGAGAAGGGGGCGGGGTGATGAAAAGTGGGAAAATGTGGCGTGGTGATGGAAAGCAGGAGAATGGGGTGGGGTTATGGGAAGCGGGAGAATGGGGCGGGGTGATGGAAAGCGGGAGAATGGGGCGGGGTGATGGAATGAGGAAGAATGGGGTGGGGTGATGGAAGGAGGGAGAATGGAGCGGGGTGATGGAATGAGGAAGAATGGGGTGGGGTGATGGAAGGAGGGAGAATGGAGTGGGGTGATGGAAAGCGGGAGAATGGGGCGGGGTGATGGAAGGAGGAAGAATGGGGTCACACCACAGAGGAGTGGCGCCCGAGTCACACCACAGAGGAGTGGCGCCCGAGTCACACCACAGAGGAGTGGCGCCCGAGTCACACCACAGAGGAGTGGCGCCCGAGTCACACCACAGAGGAGTGGCGCCCGAGTCACACCACAGAGGAGTGGCGCCCGAGTCACACAACAGAGGAGTGGCGCCCGAGTCACACACAGAGGAGTGGCGCCCGAGTCACACACAGAGGAGTGGCGCCCGAGTCACACCGCAGAGGAGTGGCGCCCGAGTCACACCACAGAGGAGTGGCGCCCGAGTCACACCACAGAGGAGTGGCGCCCGAGTCACACACAGAGGAGTGGCGCCCGAGTCACACCGCAGAGGAGTGGCGCCCGAGTCACACCACAGAGGAGTGGCGCCCGAGTCACACCACAGAGGAGTGGCGCCCGAGTCACACCGCAGAGGAGTGGCACCCGAGTCACACAACAGAGGAGTGGCGCCCCAGTCACACACAGAGGAGTGGCGCCCGAGTCACACCACAGAGGAGTGGCGCCCGAGTCACACCACAGAGGAGTGGCGCACGAGTCACACCACAGAGGAGTGGCGCCCGAGTCACACCACAGAGGAGTGGCGCCCGAGTCACACCACAGAGGGGTGGCGCCCGAGTCACACCACAGAGGAGTGGCGCCCGAGTCACACCACAGAGGAGTGGCGCCCGAGTCACACCACAGAGAAGTGGCGCCCGAGTCACACACAGGGGAGTGGCGCCCGAGTCACACCACAGAGGAGTGGCGCCCGAGTCACACCACAGAGGAGTGGCGCCCGAGTCGCACCACAGAGGAGTGGCGCCCGAGTCACAACGCAGAGGAGTGGCGCCCGAGTCACACGCAGGAAAGTGGCGCCCGAGTCACACCACAGAGGAGTGGCGCCCGAGTCACACCACAGAGGAGTGGCGCCCGAGTCGCACCTCAGAGGAGTGGCGCCCGAGTCACACCACAGAGGAGTGGCGCCCGAGTCACACCACAGAGGAGTGGCGCCCGAGTCACACCACAGAGGAGTGGCGCCCGAGTCACACCACAGAGGAGTGGCGCCCGAGTCACACCACAGAGGAGTGGCGCCCGAGTCACACCACAGAGGAGTGGCGCCCGAGTCACACCACAGAGGAGTGGCGCCCGAGTCACACCACAGAGGAGTTGCGCCCGAGTCACACCACAGAGGTGTGGCGCCCGAGTCACACCACAGAGGAGTGGCGCCCGAGTCACACCACAGAGGAGTGGCGCCCGAGTCACACCACAGAGGAGTGGCGCCCGAGTCACACCACAGAGGAGTGGCGCCCGAGTCACACCACAGAGGTGGCGCCCGAGTCACACCACAGAGGAGTGGCGCCCGAGTCACACGCAGGAAAGTGGCGCCCGAGTCACACCACAGAGGAGTGGCGCCCGAGTCACACCTAAGAGGAGTGGCGCCCGAGTCACACCACAGAGTAGTGGCGCCCGAGTCACACCACAGAGGAGTGGCGCCCGAGTCACACCACAGAGGAGTGGCGCCCGAGTCACACCACAGAGGAGTGGACCCGAGTCACACCAGAGAGGAGTGGCGCCCGAGTCACACCACAGAGGAGTGGCGCCCGAGTCACACGCAGGAAAGTGGCGCCCGAGTCACACCGCAGAGGAGTGGCGCCCGAGTCACACCACAGAGGAGTGGCGCCCGAGTCACACCACAGAGGAGGTGCGCCCGAGTCACACCACAGAGGAGGGGCGCCCGAGTCACACCACAGAGGAGTGGCGCCCGAGTCACACCACAGAGGAGTGGCGCCCAAGTCACACCACAGAGGAGTGGCGCCCAAGTCACACCGCAGAGGAGTGGCGACCGAGTCACACCGCAGAGGAGTGGCGCCCGGGTCACACCGCAGAGGAGTGGCGCCCGGGTCACACCACAGAGGAGTGGCGCCCGAGTCACACACAGAGGAGTGGCGCCCGAGTCACACCACAGAGGAGTGGCGCCCGAGTCACACCACAGAGGAGTGGCGCCCGAGTCACACCACAGTAGTGGCGCCCGAGTCACACCACAGAGGAGTGGCGCCCGAGTCACACCACAGAGGAGTGGCGCCCGAGTCACACCACAGAGGAGTGGCGCCCGAGTCACACCACAGAGGAGTGGCGCCCGAGTCACACCACAGAGGAGTGGCGCCCGAGTCACACCACAGAGGAGTGGCGCCCGAGTCACACGCAGGAAAGTGGCGCCCGAGTCACACCGCAGAGGAGTGGCGCCCGAGTCACACCACAGAGAAGTGGCGCCCGAGTCACACCACAGAGGAGTGGCGCCCGAGTCACACCACAGAGGAGTGGTGCCCGAGTCACACCACAGAGGAGTGGCGCCCGAGTCACACCACAGAGGAGTGGCACCCGAGTCACACCACAGAGGAGTGGCGCCCGAGTCACACCACAGAGGAGTGGCGCCTGAGTCACACCACAGAGTAGTGGCGCCCGAGTCACACCACAGAGGAGTGGCGCCCGAGTCACACGTAAGAGGAGTGGCGCCCGAGTCACACCACAGAGTAGTGGCGCCCGAGTCACACCACAGAGGAGTGGCGCCCGAGTCACACCACAGAGGAGTGGCGCCCGAGTCACACCACAGAGGAGTGTCGCCCGAGTCACACGCAGGAAAGTGGCGCCCGAGTCACACCGCAGAGGAGTGGCGCCCGAGTCACACCACAGAGAAGTGGCGCCCGAGTCACACCACAGAGGAGTGGCGCCCGAGTCACACCACAGAGGAGTGTCGCCCGAGTCACACCACAGAGGAGTGGCGCCCGAGTCACACCACAGAGGAGTGGCACCCGAGTCACACCACAGAGGAGTGGCGCCCGAGTCACACCACAGAGGAGTGGCGCCTGAGTCACACCACAGAGTAGTGGCGCCCGAGTCACACCACAGAGGAGTGGCGCCCGAGTCACACGTAAGAGGAGTGGCGCCCGAGTCACACCACAGAGTAGTGGCGCCCGAGTCACACCACAGAGGAGTGGCGCCCGAGTCACACCACAGAGGAGTGGCGCCCGAGTCACACCACAGAGGAGTGTCGCCCGAGTCACACCACAGAGGAGTGGCGCCCGAGTCGCACCACAGAGGAGTGGCGCCCGAGTCACACCACAAAGGAGTGGCGCCCGAGTCACACAACAGAGGAGTGGCGCCCGAGTCACACCACAGAGGAGTGGCGCCCGAGTCACACCACAGAGGAGTGGCGCCCGAGTCACACCGCAGAGGAGTGGCGCCCGAGTCACACAACAGAGGAGTGGCGCCCGGGTCACACCACAGAGGAGTGGCGCCCGAGTCACACCACAGAGGAGTTGCGCCCGAGTCACACCACAGAGGAGTGGCGCCCGAGTCACACCAGAGAGGAGTGGCGCCCGAGTCACACCACAGAGGAGTGGCGCCCGAGTCACACGCAGGAAAGTGGCGCCCGAGTCACACCGCAGAGGAGTGGCGCCCGAGTCACACCACAGAGGAGTGGCGCCCGAGTCACACCACAGAGGAGGTGCGCCCGAGTCACACCACAGAGGAGGGGCGCCCGAGGCACACCACAGAGGAGTGGCGCCCGAGTCACACCACAGAGGAGTGGCGCCCAAGTCACACCACAGAGGAGTGGCGCCCAAGTCACACCGCAGAGGAGTGGCGACCGAGTCACACCGCAGAGGAGTGGCGCCCGGGTCACACCGCAGAGGAGTGGCGCCCGGGTCACACCACAGAGGAGTGGCGCCCGAGTCACACACAGAGGAGTGGCGCCCGAGTCACACCACAGAGGAGTGGCGCCCGAGTCACACCACAGAGGAGTGGCGCCCGAGTCACACCACAGTAGTGGCGCCCGAGTCACACCACAGAGGAGTGGCGCCCGAGTCACACCACAGAGGAGTGGCGCCCGAGTCACACCACAGAGGAGTGGCGCCCGAGTCACACCACAGAGGAGTGGCGCCCGAGTCACACCACAGAGGAGTGGCGCCCGAGTCACACCACAGAGGAGTGGCGCCCGAGTCACACGCAGGAAAGTGGCGCCCGAGTCACACCGCAGAGGAGTGGCGCCCGAGTCACACCACAGAGAAGTGGCGCCCGAGTCACACCATAGAGGAGTGGCACCCGAGTCACACCACAGAGGAGTGGTGCCCGAGTCACACCACAGAGGAGTGGCGCCCGAGTCACACCACAGAGGAGTGGCACCCGAGTCACACCACAGAGGAGTGGCGCCCGAGTCACACCACAGAGGAGTGGCGCCTGCGTCACACCACAGAGTAGTGGCGCCCGAGTCACACCACAGAGGAGTGGCGCCCGAGTCACACGTAAGAGGAGTGGCGCCCGAGTCACACCACAGAGTAGTGGCGCCCGAGTCACACCACAGAGGAGTGGCGCCCGAGTCACACCACAGAGGAGTGGCGCCCGAGTCACACCACAGAGGAGTGTCGCCCGAGTCACACGCAGGAAAGTGGCGCCCGAGTCACACCGCAGAGGAGTGGCGCCCGAGTCACACCACAGAGAAGTGGCGCCCGAGTCACACCACAGAGGAGTGGCGCCCGAGTCACACCACAGAGGAGTGTCGCCCGAGTCACACCACAGAGGAGTGGCGCCCGAGTCACACCACAGAGGAGTGGCACCCGAGTCACACCACAGAGGAGTGGCGCCCGAGTCACACCACAGAGGAGTGGCGCCTGAGTCACACCACAGAGTAGTGGCGCCCGAGTCACACCACAGAGGAGTGGCGCCCGAGTCACACGTAAGAGGAGTGGCGCCCGAGTCACACCACAGAGTAGTGGCGCCCGAGTCACACCACAGAGGAGTGGCGCCCGAGTCACACCACAGAGGAGTGGCGCCCGAGTCACACCACAGAGGAGTGTCGCCCGAGTCACACCACAAAGGAGTGGCGCCCGAGTCGCACCACAGAGGAGTGGCGCCCGAGTCACACCACAAAGGAGTGGCGCCCGAGTCACACAACAGAGGAGTGGCGTCCGAGTCACACCACAGAGGAGTGGCGCCCGAGTCACACCACAGAGGAGTGGCGCCCGAGTCACACCGCAGAGGAGTGGCGCCCGAGTCACACAACAGAGGAGTGGCGCCCGGGTCACACCACAGAGGAGTGGCGCCCGAGTCAGACCGCAGAGGAGTGGCGCCCGAGTCACACCACAGAGGAGTGGCGCCCGAGTCGCACCACAGAGGAGTGGCGCCCGAGTCACACCACAGAGGAGTGGCGCCCGAGTCACACACAGGGGAGTGGCGCCCGAGTCACACCACAGAGGAGTGGCGCCCGAGTCACACCACAGAGGAGTGGCGCCCGAGTCACACCACAGAGGAGTTGCGCCCGAGTCACACCACAGAGGAGTGGCGCCCAAGTCACACCACAGAGGAGTGGCGCCCGAGTCACACCACAGAGGAGTGGCGCCCGAGTCACACCACAGAGGAGTGGCGCCCGAGTCACACGCAGGAAAGTGGCGCTCGAGTCACACCGCAGAGGAGTGGCGCCCGAGTCACACCACAGAGAAGTGGCGCCCGAGTCACACCACAGAGGAGTGGCGCCTGAGTCACACCACAGAGGAGTGGTGCCCGAGTCACACCACAGAGGAGTGGCGCCCGAGTCACACCACAGAGGAGTGGCACCCGAGTCACACCACAGAGGAGTGGCGCCCGAGTCACACCACAGAGGAGTGGCGCGTGAGTCACACCACAGAGTAGTGGCGCCCGAGTCACACCACAGAGGAGTGGCGCCCGAATCACACGTAAGAGGAGTGGCGCCCGAGTCACACCACAGAGTAGTGGCGCCCGAGTCACACCACAGAGGAGTGGCGCCCGAGTCACACCACAGAGGAGTGGCGCCCGAGTCACACCACAGAGGAGTGTCGCCCGAGTCACACCACAGAGGAGTGGCGCCCGAGTCACACAACAGAGGAGTGGCGCCCGGGTCACACCACAGAGGAGTGGCGCCCGAGTCAGACCGCAGAGGAGTGGCGCCCGAGTCACACCACAGAGGAGTGGCGCCCGAGTCGCACCACAGAGGAGTGGCGCCCGAGTCACACCACAGAGGAGTGGCGCCCGAGTCACACACAGGGGAGTGGCGCCCGAGTCACACCACAGAGGAGTGGCGCCCGAGTCACACCACAGAGGAGTGGCGCCCGAGTCACACCACAGAGGAGTTGCGCCCGAGTCACACCACAGAGGAGTGGCGCCCGAGTCACACCACAGAGGAGTGGCGCCCGAGTCACACCACAGAGGAGTGGCGCCCGAGTCACACGCAGGAAAGTGGCGCCCGAGTCACACCGCAGAGGAGTGGCGCCCGAGTCACACCACAGAGGAGTGGCGCCCGAGTCACACCACAGAGGAGTGGCGCCCGAGTCACACCACAGAGGAGTGGTGCCCGAGTCACACCACAGAGGAGTGGCGCCCGAGTCACACCAAAGAGGAGTGGCGCCCGAGTCACACCACAGAGGAGTGGCGCCCGAGTCACACCATAGAGGAGTGGCGCCCGAGTCACACCACAGAGTAGTGGCGCCCGAGTCACACCTAAGAGGAGTGGCGCCCGAGTCACACCACAGAGTAGTGGCGCCCGAGTCACACCACAGAGGAGTGGCGCCCGAGTCACACCACAGAGGAGTGGCGCCCGAGTCACACCACAGAGGAGTGGCGCCCGAGTCGCACCACAGAGGAGTGGCGCCCGAGTCACACCACAGAGGAGTGGCGCCCGAGTCACACAACAGAGGAGTGGCGCCCGAGTCACACCACAGAGGAGTGGCGCCCGAGTCACACCACAGAGGAGTGGCGCCCGAGTCACACCGCAGAGGAGTGGCGCCCGAGTCACACAACAGAGGAGTGGCGCCCGAGTCACACCACAGAGGAGTGGCGCCCGAGTCAGACCGCAGAGGAGTGGCGCCCAAGTCACACCACAGAGGAGTGGCGCCCGAGTCGCACCACAGAGGAGTGGCGCCCGAGTCACACCACAGAGGAGTGGCGCCCGAGTCACACACAGGGGAGTGGCGCCCGAGTCACACCACAGAGGAGTGGCGCCCGAGTCACACCACAGAGGAGTGGCGCCCGAGTCACACCACAGAGGAGTGGCGCCCGAGTCACACCACAGAGGAGTGGCGCCCGAGTCACACCACAGAGGAGTGGCGCCCGAGTCACACCACAGAGGAGTGGCGCCCGAGTCACACCACAGAGTGGCGCCCGAGTCACACCAGAGGAGTGGCGCCCGAGTCACACCACAGAGGAGTGGCGCCCGAGTCACACCACAAAGGAGTGGCGCCCGAGTCACACCACAGAGGAGTGGCGCCCGAGTCACACCACAGAGGAGTGGCGCCCGAGTCACACCACAGTGGAGTGGCGCCCGAGTCACACCACAGAGGAGTGGCGCCCGAGTCACACCACAGAGGAGTGGCGCCCGAGTCACACCACAGAGGATTGGCGCCCGAGTCACACCACAGAGGAGTGGCGCTCGAGTCACACCACAGAGGAGTGGCGCCCGAGTCACACCACAGAGGAGTGGCGCCCGAGTCACACACAGAGGAGTGGCGCCCGAGTCACACCACAGCGGAGTGGCGCCCGAGTCACACCACAGAGGAGTGGCGCCCGAGTCACACCACAGAGGAGTGGCGCCCGAGTCATACACAGAGGAGTGGCGCCCGAGTCACACCACAGAGGAGTGGCGCCCGAGTCACACCACAGAGGAGTGGCGCCCAAGTCACACCAAAGAGGAGTGGCGCTTGAGTCACACCACAGAGGAGTGGCGCCCGAGTCACACCACAGAGGAGTGGCGCCCGAGTCACACCACAGAGGAGTGGCGCCCGAGTGACACCACAGCGGAGTGGCGCCCGAGTCACACCACAGAGGAGTGGCGCCCGAGTCACACCACACAGGAGTGGCGCCCGAGTCACACCACAGAGGAGTGGCGCCAGAGTCACACCAGAGAGGAGTGGCGCCCGAGTCACACCATAGAGGAGTGGGGCCCGAGTCACACCACAGAGGAGTGGCGCCCGAGTCACACCACAGAGGAGTGGCGCCCAGGTCACACCACTGAGGAGTGGCGCCCGAGTCACACCACAGAGGAGTGGCGCCCGAGTCACACCACAGAGTAGTGGCGCCCGAGTCACACCACAGAGGAGTGGCGCCCGAGTCACACCTAAGAGGAGTGGCGCCCGAGTCACACCACAGAGTAGTGGCGCCCGAGTCACACCACAGAGGAGTGGCGCCCCAGTCACACCACAGAGGAGTGGCGCCCGAGTCACACCACAGAGGAGTGTCGCCCGAGTCACACCACAGAGGAGTGGCGCCCGAGTCGCACCACAGAGGAGTGGCGCCCGATTCACACCACAGAGGAGTGGCCCCCGAGTCACACAACAGAGGAGTGGCGCCCGAGTCACACCACAGAGGAGTGGCGCCCGAGTCACACAACAGAGGAGTGGCGCCCGAGTCACACCACAGAGGAGTGGCGCCCGAGTCAGACCGCAGAGGAGTGGCGCCCAAGTCACACCACAGAGGAGTGGCGCCCGAGTCGCACCACAGAGGAGTGGAGCCCGAGTCACACCACAGAGGAGTGGCGCCCGAGTCACACACAGGGGAGTGGCGCCCGAGTCACACCACAGAGGAGTGGCGCCCGAGTCACACCACAGAGGAGTGGCGCCCGAGTCACACCACAGAGGAGTGGCGCCCGAGTCACACCACAGAGGAGTGGCGCCCGAGTCACACCACAGAGGAGTGGCGCCCGAGTCACACCACAGAGGAGTGGCGCCCGAGTCACACCACAGAGTGGCGCCCGAGTCACACCAGAGGAGTGGCGCCCGAGTCACACCACAGAGGAGTGGCGCCCGAGTCACACCACAGAGGAGTGGCGCCCGAGTCACACCACAGAGGAGTGGCGCCCGAGTCACACCACAGAGGAGTGGCGCCCGAGTCACACACAGAGGAGTGGCGCCCGAGTCACACCACAGCGGAGTGGCGCCCGAGTCACACCACAGAGGAGTGGCGCCCGAGTCACACCACAGAGGAGTGGCGCCCGAGTCACACACAGAGGAGTGGCGCCCGAGTCACACCACAGAGGAGTGGCGCCCGAGTCACACCACAGAGGAGTGGCGCCCAAGTCACACCAAAGAGGAGTGGCGCTTGAGTCACACCACAGAGGAGTGGCGCCCGAGTCACACCACAGAGGAGTGGCGCCCGAGTCACACCACAGAGGAGTGGCGCCCGAGTGACACCACAGCGGAGTGGCGCCCGAGTCACACCACAGAGGAGTGGCGCCCGAGTCACACCACACAGGAGTGGCGCCCGAGTCACACCACAGAGGAGTGGCGCCAGAGTCACACCAGAGAGGAGTGGCGCCCGAGTCACACCATAGAGGAGTGGCGCCCGAGTCACACCACAGAGGAGTGGCGCCCGAGTCACACCACAGAGGAGTGGCGCCCGAGTCACACCACAGAGGAGTGGCGCCCGAGTCACACCACAGAGGAGTGGCGCCCGAGTCACACCACAGAGGAGTGGCGCCCGAGTCACACACAGAGGAGTGGCGCCCGAGTCACACCACAGCGGAGTGGCGCCCGAGTCACACCACAGAGGAGTGGCGCCCGAGTCACACCACAGAGGAGTGGCGCCCGAGTCACACACAGAGGAGTGGCGCCCGAGTCACACCACAGAGGAGTGGCGCCCGAGTCACACCACAGAGGAGTGGCGCCCAAGTCACACCAAAGAGGAGTGGCGCTTGAGTCACACCACAGAGGAGTGGCGCCCGAGTCACACCACAGAGGAGTGGCGCCCGAGTCACACCACAGAGGAGTGGCGCCCGAGTGACACCACAGCGGAGTGGCGCCCGAGTCACACCACAGAGGAGTGGCGCCCGAGTCACACCACACAGGAGTGGCGCCCGAGTCACACCACAGAGGAGTGGCGCCAGAGTCACACCAGAGAGGAGTGGCGCCCGAGTCACACCATAGAGGAGTGGCGCCCGAGTCACACCACAGAGGAGTGGCGCCCGAGTCACACCACAGAGGAGTGGCGCCCGGGTCACACCACTGAGGAGTGGCGCCCGAGTCACACCACAGAGGAGTGGCGCCCGAGTCACACCACAGAGTAGTGGCGCCCGAGTCACACCACAGAGGAGTGGCGCCCGAGTCACACCTAAGAGGAGTGGCGCCCGAGTCACACCACAGAGTAGTGGCGCCCGAGTCACACCACAGAGGAGTGGCGCCCGAGTCACACCACAGAGGAGTGGCGCCCGAGTCACACCACAGAGGAGTGTCGCCCGAGTCACACCACAGAGGAGTGGCGCCCGAGTCGCACCACAGAGGAGTGGCGCTTGATTCACACCACAGAGGAGTGGCCCCCGAGTCACACAACAGAGGAGTGGCGCCCGAGTCACACCACAGAGGAGTGGCGCCCGAGTCACACCACAGAGGAGTGGCGCCCGAGTCTCACCGCAGAGGAGTGGCGCCCGAGTCACACAACAGAGGAGTGGCGCCCGAGTCACACCACAGAGGAGTGGCGCCCGAGTCAGACCGCAGAGGAGTGGCGCCCAAGTCACACCACAGAGGAGTGGCGCCCGAGTCGCACCACAGAGGAGTGGCGCCCGAGTCACACCACAGAGGAGTGGCGCCCGAGTCACACACAGGGGAGTGGCGCCCGAGTCACACCACAGAGGAGTGGCGCCCGAGTCACACCACAGAGGAGTGGCGCCCGAGTCACACCACAGAGGAGTGGCGCCCGAGTCACACCACAGAGGAGTGGCGCCCGAGTCACACCACAGAGGAGTGGCGCCCGAGTCACACCACAGAGGAGTGGCGCCCGAGTCACACCACAGAGTGGCGCCCGAGTCACACCAGAGGAGTGGCGCCCGAGTCACACCACAGAGGAGTGGCGCCCGAGTCACACCACAGAGGAGTGGCGCCCGAGTCACACCACAGAGGAGTGGCGCCCGAGTCACACCACAGAGGAGTGGCGCCCGAGTCATACCACAGTGGAGTGGCGCCCGAGTCACACCACAGAGGAGTGGCGCCCGAGTCACACCACAGAGGAGTGGCGCCCGAGTCACACCACAGAGGAGTGGCGCCCGAGTCACACCACAGAGGAGTGGCGCTCGAGTCACACCACAGAGGAGTGGCGCCCGAGTCACACCACAGAGGAGTGGCGCCCGAGTCACACACAGAGGAGTGGCGCCCGAGTCACACCACAGCGGAGTGGCGCCCGAGTCACACCACGAGGAGTGGCGCCCGAGTCACACCACAGAGGAGTGGCGCCCGAGTCACACACAGAGGAGTGGCGCCCGAGTCACACCACAGAGGAGTGGCGCCCGAGTCACACCACAGAGGAGTGGCGCCCAAGTCACACCACAGAGGAGTGGCGCCCGAGTCACACCACAGAGGAGTGGCGCCCGAGTCACACCACAGAGGAGTGGCGCCCGGCGCCCGAGTGACACCACAGCGGAGTGGCGCCCGAGTCACACCACAGAGGAGTGGCACCCGAGTCACACCACACAGGAGTGGCTCCGGAGTCACACCACAGAGGAGTGGCGCCAGAGTCACACCAGAGAGGAGTGGCGCCCGAGTCACACCACAGAGGAGTGGCGCCCGAGTCACACCACAGAGGAGTGGCGCCCGAGTCACACCACAGAGGAGTGGCGCCCGAGTCACACCACAGCGGAGTGGCGCCCGAGTCACACCACAGCGGAGTGGTGCCTAAGTCACACCACAGAGGAGTGGCGCCCGCCTCACACCAGAGGAGTGGCGCCCGAGTCATACACAGAGGAGTGGCGCCCGAGTCACACCGCAGAGGAGTGGCGCCCGAGTCACACCACAGAGGAGTGGCACCCGAGTCACACACAGAGGAGTGGCGCCCGACTCACACCGTAGAGGAGTGGCGCCCGAGTCACACCACAGAGGAGTGGCACCCGAGTCACACACAGAGGAGTGGCGCCCAAATCACACCGCAGAGGAGTGGCGCCCGAGTCACACCACAGAGGAGTGGCGCCCGAGTCACACCGCACAGGAGTGGCGCCCGAGTCACACCACAAAGGAGTGGCACCTGAGTTACACACAGAGGAGTGGCGCCCAACTCACACCGGAGAGGAGTGGAGCCCGACTTGCGGAGATAACTGCTGCAACGGGAGCTAGACTACGGGCTAGGCACGTGTGCTCGTGTGATCTCTGCGTTCGTTCACTTAGTCGTTTCCTTGTGTGCACACTACTGGCTAGTTCACGGGGAAAAAATTGGCAAGAGTTCCACTAGGAAAAGTTCAGAACAATGGTACAATGAAGTTGGCATAGCAAGACTACATCAGAGCAAGCATTCAGGTCGGCCAACTGCCAGCGCAGCTTGGTCGAGCGTGTTCCAGCACGACTTGGTCGACCGCGCTCCAGCAAGGCAAAGTTGACGGCGTGCCAACGTCGCAGGTTGACGGCGTGACAGCGCTGCTCACGCAGGACAACAGTGCACCCTGCTTCGCAGTTGCGCGCAGATGATTGGTGTGCAGAGTCTCGTCACGTGCACAGCGCACACGCCACGTCAACCTCGAGCTGACGACTGCCTCTGATCCGCCATGACGACCTCGGGATACCACCACCGAGGTCGGGCTCGCCAACTTCGCCTGGGCGACCGTCGCACTCCTCCGCAGCACTTCGTCACCCAGGTAACCTGGTCGACCAGGCAACCGCGTCGACCAGCAGCTCCCGTTCGTGCCCGTCGACCTCCCAAGTCGACGACCACCTCCACGTCAACCTCCTCCAGGTCGACGTCCCCTCTGGTCGACTAGCTCCACGTCGACCAGTACTCCTGGTCGACCTGCTCCTCGTCGACCAGCAGTCCGTTAGCCGACCGCCGAAGTCGGCTTCACCAAGTTGACGTCCTCCGCAGGTCGACTCCCAAGTCGACCTCCCTGAAGTCGGCGCCATCCTGAAGTCGGCGCCCGTGCAGAGGTCCCCCGTGCAGGTCCACCTCCTCGTCGACCTGCTCACCCACTGCTGCAGGTCGGCTGCTCCCTTCACACCCGACCACGAAGTCGGCTCCGCCCAAGCGAGGACGGGGCCAATACCCAACTCCCGTTGACACTCCCCTGCCGCGTTCACGCTTGGGCACCCAGCCCACACGGCAGTACAGCTCGGAGACTAGCTCGTCGACGTGCACCCAACACATAGCACGTCGTCCACCGCACCAGCCATGCAAAAGGGCATGGCACCTACTGCTGCACGTCATCGACTTCGTTGCCAACGTCGGCCAAGCGCACCTGGCCGATCGCGACGGAGCACCGGTTGAAGGCCGGATAGTGCAGCGCCTTCGTCAGGAAGTCGGCCGGCTGCTCAGCGGTTGGGATGTACTGCAGCGAGAACTTCCCGCGCTTCACCATGTGCTGCAGCCAGGCCTGTCGCTGCTCCATGTGCTTGAGGTTGCCCGTCAACCCCATGCCCTCGCCGACCGTGATGGCCGACTTGTTGTCCACGCGCAGGACAGTCGGCTTCCCGGCGTCCAGCTGCCGGAACTCTGCAAGGAGGAAGCGAAGGCGGCGTCCCTCCTTGCCAGCTTCAGTGGCCGCCACGTACTCCTACTCGGTCGACGACAACGTCGCGCACTTGATGCGCTGGCTCGACCAGGAGACTGCAGCCCCTCCGTAGGCTAACACGTAGCCGCTCGTGCTCGTCCTGTTCTGCTTGTCATCGGCGCCGTTGGCGTCCTCGTAGCCGACCAGCTCCAGCGACTCAAGTCCCCCGCCGAACTCCACGGCAGTGTCACGTGTGTTGGCGAGGTAGGCAAGGCAGCGGTCGACCTCGCGCCAGTGCTGGTCGCTCCTCACCGTGAGGCCGCTCCCCAGCTTGCTACAGGCGACGGCGATGTCCGGCCTCATCCTCGTCGCCGCGAGCTGTAGCGAGCCGACCTTCTGCCGATACTCCTCCTCCTACCGTTCCTGCGCCTCCTCGTCATCGAAGGTGAGCTCGGCGTAGGCACCGACCGAGACCGGCGTCTTCAGGGTGCGCCCAGTCTGCTCCTCGTCGAGGAAGTGCCTACGCAGCTTGTCGGCGTAGCCCTGCTGGTGCAGCCACAGCTTCCCCGCCGACCTGTCGTGCACGATCTCCAGCCCGAGGTACTTCTGCACCATGGCCGAGGTACACCCGGCCGGTTCCGTCGTTGAAGTAGTCCGGCTGGGACATGTACAGCACCCGATCGAGCTTGCTCTGCAGCAAGGCGTTCTTCATGTCGAGCTGCATCAGGTTGAGGTTGAGGACGGCGACGATGCTGAGGAAGATCCTCAGCGTGACGTAGCTGCTCACCGGCGCGAACGTCTCGTCATAGTCGGCGCCGTACACCTGTGTGAAGCCCTTCACGACCAGCCTCGCCTTCTCTCGCTCGACGGTGTCGTCGATGTGGTACTTCGTCGTCAACACCCACCGGTTTTTCATGACGTTCACCCCCGGCGGGCGTTCGACCAGCTCCCAAGTGCCCATGTTGAGGAGGCTGCGAATCTCCTCCTCCATGGCGGCCTTCACCGCCGGGCCCTTCCAGCTCGCCAGCGCCTCCTTCACCGTCATCGTCGAGATGTCCCAACGGTGCTCGGGGTCGGCTAGCATGTCGGGGTCGAGCTCCGGGAACTCCTCATCCTCCTCGGCGTCGTCGTACAGCAGGTCGTCGTCATCGTCCACGTCATACCCCGTGGTGAAGGCAGCGGGGACGAAGAGGTCAGGCGGCCTCCGAAGTCGGCCTGAACGCCGTGGTCCTGGCTGGACCTCCTCGGCGTCCCCTCCATCGTCACTGTCGTCGCTGCCCTCGACGTCCAGCTGCTCCTCAGCCGGCGTCCCAGCCGACTGCTCCCCTGTGGTCAGCGTCCCAGCCGACTTCTCCCCTGTGGTCGGCTCTTCTGCTGACGGCCCGGTCGCCGACTGCGCCGTGGTCGGCTTCACGGCAGCCTGCTCCCTTGTTGGCTGCTGCTCTTTGACCTGCTCCTCCCCTGTCGACTGCAATCCCACGTCGATTTGCCGCTCGTCACGTCGGCCACCGGCGATGCACTTAGCCGGCGCCGAAGGCATCCCACGACTCCCCTCATCGCCGGAGGCCGACTCCGAGGTCAGCCAACGCAGGTCGACCACGAGGGGAGGGGCATGGGTCAGAGGGTGAGGGGTAGGGGTGTGGACGTCCTCGACGTCCTCAGTAGCAAGCTCACCGACCTCGGCAAGCAGCGGCAGCGTCGCCGACGAGGTGTCAGAGGGCGGGGTGGGCGACGAGCGGCCGGGCACCGGCCCATGCTCCGTCTTCCACTCGGCCAGCGACATCTCCTCGTAGAACACCACGTCCGACGTGGTGACCACTCGGTCGGTGTCGACGTCGAGGAGCTCCCAGCCCTTGCTCGCCGCCGACACGCCAAGGTGCAGGCCCCACTTGGCCTTCGGCTTCAGCTTCCCACCATGCTGCTGCTCAGGAACAAGGAACTGCGCCATGCAGCCCCACACCCGTGCCAGCGACAAGTCGGGCTTCTTCCCAGTCAGCAGCTGGTACGGCGTCGTCCCCGGCGGCAGCGTCGACCTCTCAAGGCAGTTGCGGACCCAGACGGCCTGCCGCAGAGCGAGGTGCCACCAGTGGTGCTGCACACCCATGTGCAGCAGCATTGTCTGCACCGACTCCACCACCGTCCTCATCTCCCGCTCCGCCATGCCGTTCTGCTGCGGGGTGTATGGGCAGGTCAGGTCGTGGACAATCCCCTTGCCGTTCACGAAGTCTGTGAACTGCTTCCCGAGGAACTCCCCTCCCCGGTCAGAGCGCAGCATCAACACCGACTTCTTCGTCTGCCGCTCAGCCACCGCCGGCCACTGTACGAACGCCTGCAACGCATCGGACTTCTTGGCGACCGGCTTCACCCACACGCAGCGGGTCTTGCGGTCCTTCAGCAGTAAGAAGTACAGGCTGCCATCCTTGACAGTCACGCGGAACGGCCTGCACAGGTCGATGTGCACGACGGCCAGAGCGTCGTCGGCGTCGGAGCCTTGGTCGGGGAATGTGTGCCGCGCCAGTTTCCCGCCGACGCACGAGACACACGGGGAGTCGGCGTCCGTCGCCGACTTGAGGTCCAGCCCAATGGCGACCTCGTTCTTCGCCGAGCTCCGTATGGTGTCCATGCCGACGTGCGCAAGCCTCGCATGCATCCGGGCCGGCGTCGACTTCGTCTTCGAGACGATCGCCCGCAGAGCCACGACCTCCAGCGTGGTCGACGCTGACGTCTTTGTGCAGGGACGCAGGTTGGTGCAGAGGACTCGCCCAGAGTACGTCGCCCGCCCGAGCACCTCCCCTGCGACCAAGACGAGCAGCATGCCGTCTCCGTCCTCTTGCAGCTTCACGCCATGCTCCTTCAGCTGGCCGGCCGACAGCAGGTTGGCTCGCACACCCGGGACATATAACACATCGGGGATGAGCACCTCCTTCCCGGCCTCTCCTTGCAGGGCGACGGTGCCGCGGCCCTGGACATCCTGCAGCGCCCCATTGAAGCCGCGCACATGCCTGATGGCGCCACTCGGCTGCAAGTCGACGAAGGCTTCCTTCGTCCCCATCAGGTGGTGGGAGCAACCGCTGTCGAGCAGGACCACCGCCGGGTTCGCCTGCACAGCTGCCGCCACCGCCTGTAAGTCCTCTCCGGCCTTCGGCGCCAGAGAGATGGTCGGCTCCACGACGCCGACCAGCGAGCACGACGCCATCTTGTCGTCTCGCCCCTTGCCGCCTGCAGCGGAGTCGACGTCCTTCGCCGAAGTCGATGTCTTGGTCGACTGCTTCTCCTTGCACGGCTGGTTTCTTCCACGACGAGGATGACGGCTGCTTGACCTCCCACGGCCTCCCTTAGCGTCGTCGTCGTCGGAGTCACTGCGGTTGGGACACTCGAAAGAGAGATGGTCGGGGTCGCTGCACAGCCAGCACTCTCGACGTCGACCTCCTCCTCCCCGACCGCTGTCCTTGGTCGACTTCTTCTTGTCGACCTCCTTGGCCGGCTTCCAGCCACTGATACCACCATCGCCACCGGACTGTCCACGCTATCCTGGTTGGCCTCCTTGCTTCGCCGGGGCGACGAAGTTGGCCTGCGCCAAGAGTTCCTGTGACCGCTCAGCCTCCTGCATCGCCTCGTCCTGCAGGATGTACGAGGTCAGGTTGTCCTCGTTGAGCGTCGCCCTCGTGCTCGGCGCCATGGACAGCCGCTTCAGCAGGTTGTAGCTGCTAGAGAGTCCCTGCATGACATGGGTGATGTACGACGCCGTGGAGTACTGCGCGCCGGCCATCCTGATAGTGGCGAGAATTCGCCGGGCTCGGTTGTAGTAGTCAGTCGCTGTATCCTCGTCACCCATACGCAAGTGCGTCAACTGTCCCTCCAGCTGGGCGATGAACAGGTCATCGGTGACCTGGTACGTCGACTCAATGAAGTGCCACGCCCGGTGGCCGGCGTCGATGTACTCCCGGCACCACTTCAAGGCGATCTGCACGCCCGGAGAGCAGCACCGCGAGATGACCGTGAAGGTCAACAGCTGCACGGCGCAATCCCACCTGCCGTCACCTGGGACGCCGACATCAGCGACAGCCCACTCTGTCGACCTCCGACGTCACCCCGTGAAGAGCCTGCAGCCGCTGACGACTGCATCCCTCGCGCCTAAACCCCGCCGACTTCACCGGCGTGTATCACACCTCTCTGCCTCGACGTGCCTCCAGCATTGCTGCCGACTTGACCACCACCGCCGTTGACGCCCACATCGACGCCGCCTTCGTTGTTCACCGGACGAGGAGAGGCAGGTCGAGACGGGTGCTCCGTCGCCCACATGGAGCGGAGTCCTGCCTCAACGACCGGCCAGGGCAAGTCGCCATACTCGTTGGCCTCGTGCTTCCTCCTCGCGTTCTCCAACCGTGCCTCTAGGGTGTCCACCACCCCCGCGTCACCTACGGCTCCTACCATAGTGACTACCGCACAGTTGTCGGCCTGCAACTACGAAATAGGTAAGTGGTATCTACGTCGACCTGACTGAAAGGTAAGTCGTGTGCCCTCCACGCTCACCGCACCATGCGGAGATAACTGCTGCAACGGGAGCTAGACTACGGGCTAGGCACGTGTGCTCGTGTGATCTCTGCGTTTGTTCACTTAGTCGTTTCCTTGTGTGCACACTACTTGCTAGTTCACGGGGAAAAAATTGGCAAGAGTTCCACTAGGAAAAGTTCAGAACAATGGTACAATGAAGTTGGCATAGCAAGACTACATCAGAGCAAGCATTCAGGTCGGCCAACTGCCAGCGCAGCTTCGTCGACCGTGTTCCAGCACGACTTGGTCGACCGCGCTCCAGCAAGGCAAAGTCGACGGCGTGCCAACGTCGCAGGTTGACGGCGTGACAGCGTTGCTCACGTAAGACACCAGTGCACCCTGCTTCGCAATTGCGCGCAGATGATTGGTGTGCAGAGTCTCGTCACCTGCACAGCGCACACGCAACGTCAACCTCAAGCTGACGACTGCCTCTGATCCGCCACGACGACCTCGGGATACCACCACCGAGGTCGGGCTCGCCAACTTCGCCTGGGCGACCGTCGCACTCCTCCGCAGCACTTCGTCACCCAGGTAACCTGGTCGACCAGGCAACCGCGTCGACCAGCAGCTCCCGTTCGTGCCCGTCGACCTCCCAAGTCGAAGACCACCTCCACGTTGACCTCCTCCAGGTCGACGTCCCCTCTGGTCGACCAGCTCCACGTCGACCAGTACTCCTGGTCGACCTGCTCCTCGTCGACCAGCAGTCCGTTAGCCGACCGCCGAAGTCGGCTTTACCAAGTTGACGTGCTCCGCAGGTCGACTCCCAAGTCGACCTCCCTGAAGTCGGCGCCATCCTGAAGTCGGCGCCCGTGCACTGGTCCCCCGTGCAGGTCCACCTCCTCGTCGACCAGCTCACCCAGTGCTGCAGGTCGGCTGCTCCCCTCACACCCGACCACGAAGTCGGCTCCGCCCAAGCGAGGACGGGGCCAATACCCAACTCCGGTTGACACGACTCACACCACAGAGGAGTGGCGCCCGAGTCACACACAGAGGAGTGGCGCCCGAGTCACACCACAGAGGAGTGGCGCCCGAGTCACACAACAGAGGAGTGGCGCCCGACTCACACCACAGAGGAGTGGCGCCCGAGTCACACCAGAGATGAGTGGCGCCCGAGTCACACCACAGAGGAGTGGCGCCCGAGTCACACCACAGAGGAGTGGCGCCCGAGTCACACCACAGAGGAGTGGCGCCCGAGTCACACCACAGAGGAGTGGCGCCCGAGTCACACCACAGAGCAGTGGCGCCCGAGTCACACCACAGAGGAGTGGCGCCCGAGTCACACCACAGAGCAGTGGCGCCCGAGTCACACCACAGAGGAGTGGCGCCCGAGTCACACCACAGAGGAGTGGCGCCCGAGTCACACCACAGAGGAGTGTCGCCCGACTCACACTACAGAGGAGTGGCGCCCGAGTCACACCACAGAGGAGTGGCGCCCGAGTCACACCATAGAGGAGTGGCGCCCGAGTCACACCACAGAGGAGTGGCGCCCGAATCACACCACAGAGGAGTGGCGCCCTAGTCACAGCACAGAGGAGTGGCGCCCGAGTCACACCACAGAGGAGTGGCGCCCAAGTCACACCACAGAGGAGTGGCGCCCGAGTCACACCACAGAGGAGTGGCGCCCGAGTCACACCACAGAGGAGTGGCGCCCGAGTCACACCACAGAGGAGAGGCGACCGAGTCACACCACAGAGGGGTGGCGCCCGAGTCACACCACAGAGGAGTGGCGCCCGACTCACACCACAGAGGAGTGGCGCCCGAGTCACACCACAGAGGAGTGGCGCCCGAGTGAAAACACAGAGGAGTGGCGCCCGAGTCACACCACAGCGGAGTGGCGCCCGAGTCACACCACAGAGGAGTGGCGCCCGAGTCACACCACAGAGGAGTGGCGCCGGAGTCACACACAGAGGAGTGGCGCCCGAGTCACACCACAGAGGAGCGGCGCCCGAGTCAGACACAGAGGAGTGGCGCCCGAGTCACACCACAGAGGAGTGGCGCCCGAGTCACACCACAGAGGAGTGGCGACCGAGTCACACCACAGAGGAGTGGCGCCCGAGTCACACCACAGCGGAGTGGCGCCCAAGTCACACCACAGAGGAGTGGCGCCCGAGTCACACCACAGAGGAGTGGCACCCGACTCACACACAGAGGAGTGGCGCCCGCGTCACACCACAAAGGAGTGGCGCCCGAGTCACACCACAGAGGAGAGGCGACTGAGTCACACCACAGAGGAGTGGCGCCCGAGTCACACCACAGAGGAGTGGCGCCCGAGTCACACCACAGAGGAGTGGCGCCCGAGTCACACCACAGCGGAGTGGCGCCCGAGTCACACCACAGAGGAGTGGCGCCCGAGTCACACCACAGAGGAGTGGCGCCCGAGTCACACCACAGAGGAGTGGCGCCCGAGTCACACCACAGAGGAGTGGCGCCCGAGTCACACCACAGAGGAGTGGCGCCCGAATCACACTACAGGAGTGGCGCCCGAGTCACACCACAGAGGAGTGGCGCCCGAGTCACACCACAGAGGAGTGGCGCCCGAGTCACACCACAGAGGAGTGGCGCCCGAGTCACACCAAAGAGGAGTGGCGCCCGAGTCACACCACAGAGGAGTTGCGCCCGAGTCACACCACAGAGGAGTGGCGCCCGAGTCACACCACAGAGGAGTGGCGCCCGAGTCACACCACAGAGGAGTGGCGCCCGAGTCACACCACAGAGGAGTGGCGCCCGAGTCACACCACAGAGAAGTGGCGCCCGAGTCACACCACAGAGGAGTGGCGCCCGAGTCACACCACAGAGGAGTGGCGCCCGAGTCACACCACAGAGGAGTTGCGCCCGAGTCACACCACAGAGGAGTGGCGCCCGAGTCACACCACAGAGGAGTGGCGCCCGAGTCACACCACAGAGGAGTGGCGCCCGAGTCACACCACAGAGGAGTGGCGCCCGAGTCACACCACAGAGGAGTGGCGCCCGAGTCACACCACAGAGGAGTTGCGCCCGAGTCACACCACAGATGAGTGGCGCCCGAGTCACACCACAGAGGAGTGGCGCCCAAGTCACACACCAGAGGAGTGGCGCCCGAGTCACACCACAGAGGAGTGGCGCCCGAGTCGCACCACAGAGGAGTGGCGCCCGAGTCACACCTCAGAGGAGTGGCGCCTGAGTCACACCACAGAGGAGTGGCGCCCGAGTCACACCACAGAGGAGTGGCGCCCGAGTCACACCACAGAGGAGTGGTGCCCGAGTCACACCACAGAGGAGTGGCACCTGAGTCACACCACAGAGGAGTGGCGCCCGAGTCACACACAGGGGAGTGGCGCCCGAGTCACACCACAGAGGAGTGTCGCCCGAGTCACACCACAGAGGAGTGGCGCCCGAGTCACACCACAGATGAGTGGCACCCGAGTCACACCACAGATGAGTGGCCCCCGAGTCACACCACAGAGGAGTGGCGCCCGAGTCACACCACAGAGGAGTGGCGGCCGAGTCACACCACAGAGGAGTGGCGCCCGAGTCACACCAGAGGAGTGGCGCCTGAGTCACACACAGAGGAGTGGCGCCCGAGTCACACACAGAGGAGTGGCGCCCGAGTCACACACAGAGGAGTGGCGCCCGAGTCACACCACAGAGGAGTGGCGCCCGAGTCACACCACAGAGGAGTGGCGCCCGAATCACACTACAGGAGTGGCGCCGGAGTCACACCACAGAGGAGTGGCGCCCGAGTCACACCACAGAGGAGTGGCGCCCGAGTCACACCACAGAGGAGTGGAGCCCGAGTCACACCAAAGAGGAGTGGCGCCCGAGTCACACCAGAGAGGAGTGGCGCCCGAGTCACACCACAGAGGAGTGGCGCCCGAGTCACACCACAGAGGAGTGGCGCCCGAGTCACACCACAGAGGAGTGGCGCCCGAGTCACACCACAGAGAAGTGGCGCCCGAGTCACACCACAGAGGAGTGGCGCCCGAGTCACACCACAGAGGAGTGGCGCCCGAGTCACACCACAGAGGAGTTGCGCCCGAGTCACACCACAGAGGAGTGGCGCCCGAGTCACACCACAGAGGAGTGGCGCCCGAGTCACACCATAGAGGAGTGGCGCCCGAGTCACACCACAGAGGAGTGGCGCCCGAGTCACACCACAGAGGAGTGGCGCCCGAGTCACACCACAGAGGAGTTGCGCCCGAGTCACACCACAGAGGAGTGGCGCCCGAGTCACACCACAGAGGAGTGGCGCCCAAGTCACACCACAGAGGAGTGGCGCCCGAGTCACACCACAGAGGAGTGGCGCCCGAGTCGCACCACAGAGGAGTGGCGCCCGAGTCACACCACAGAGGAGTGGCGCCTGAGTCACACCACAGAGGAGTGGCGCCCGAGTCACACCACAGAGGAGTGGCGCCCGAGTCACACCACAGAGGAGTGGCGCCCGAGTCACACCACAGAGGAGTGGCACCTGAGTCACACCACAGAGGAGTGGCGCCCGAGTCACACACAGGGGAGTGGCGCCCGAGTCACACCACAGAGGAGTGTCGCCCGAGTCACACCACAGAGGAGTGGCGCCCGAGTCACACCACAGATGAGTGGCCACCCGAGTCACACCACAGATGAGTGGCCCCGGAGTCACACCACAGAGGAGTGGCGCCCGAGTCACACCACAGAGGAGTGGCGGCCGAGTCACACCACAGAGGAGTGGCGCCCCAGTCACACCAGAGGAGTGGCGCCTGAGTCACACACAGAGGAGTGGCGCCCGAGTCACACACAGAGGAGTGGCGCCCGAGTCACACACAGAGGAGTGGCGCCACCACAGAGGAGTGGCGCCCGAGTCACACCACAGAGGAGTGGCGCCCGAGTCACACAACAGAGGAGTGGCGCCCGAGTCACACACAGAGGAGTGGCGCCCGAGTCACACCGCAGAGGAGTGGCGCCCGAGTCACACCACAGAGGAGTGGCGCCCGAGTCACACCACAGAGGAGTGGAGCCCGAGTCACACCAGAGAGGAGTGGCGCCCGAGTCACACCGCAGAGGAGTGGCGCCCGAGTCACACCACAGAGGAGTGGCGCCCGAGTCACACCACAGAGGAGTGGCGCCCGAGTCACACCACAGAGGAGTAACCCGAGTCACACCACAGAGGAGTGGCGCCCGAGTCACACCACGGAGGAGTGGCGTCCGAGTCACACCATAGAGGAGTGGCGCCCGAGTCACACCGCAGAGGAGTGGCGCCCGAGTCACACCGCAGAGGAGTGGCGCCCGAGTCACACCGCAGAGGAGTGGCGCCCGAGTCACACCATCGAGGAGTGGCGCCCGAGTCACACCACAGAGGAGTGGCGCCCGAGTCACACCACAGAGGAAGGCGCCCGAGTCACACCACAGAGGAGTTGCGCCCGAGTCACACCACAGAGGAGTGGCGCCCGAGTCACACCACAGAGGAGTGGCGGCCGAGTCACACCACAGAGGAGTGGCGCCCGAGTCACACCAGAGGAGTGGCGCCTGAGTCACACACAGAGGAGTGGCGCCCGAGTCACACACAGAGGAGTGGCGCCCGAGTCACACACAGAGGAGTGGCGCCACCACAGAGGAGTGGCGCCCGAGTCACACCACAGAGGAGTGGCGCCCGAGTCACACCACAGAGGAGTGGAGCCCGAGTCACACCAGAGAGGAGTGGCGCCCGAGTCACACCGCAGAGGAGTGGCGCCCGAGTCACACCACAGAGGAGTGGCGCCCGAGTCACACCACAGAGGAGTGGCGCCCGAGTCACACCACAGAGGAGTAACCCGAGTCACACCACAGAGGAGTGGCGCCCGAGTCACACCACGGAGGAGTGGCGTCCGAGTCACACCACAGAGGAGTGGCGCCCGAGTCACACCGCAGAGGAGTGGCGCCCGAGTCACACCGCAGAGGAGTGGCGCCCGAGTCACACCGCAGAGGAGTGGCGCCCGAGTCACACCATCGAGGAGTGGCGCCCGAGTCACACCACTGAGGAGTAGCGCCCGAGTCACACCACAGAGGAGTTGCGCCCGAGTCACACCACAGAGGAGTGGCGCCCGAGTCACACCACAGAGGAGTGGCGCCCGAGTCACACCACAGAGGAGTGGAGCCCGAGTCACACCAGAGAGGAGTGGCGCCCGAGTCACACCGCAGAGGAGTGGCGCCCAAGTCACACCACAGAGGAAGGCGCCCGAGTCACACCACAGAGGAGTTGCGCCCGAGTCACACACAGAGGAGTGGCGCCCGAGTCACACCACAGAGGAGTGGCGCCCGAGTCACCACCACAGAGGAGTGGAGCCCCGAGTCACACCAGAGAGGAGTGGCGCCCGAGTCACACCGCAGAGGAGTGGCGCCCTGAGTCACACCACAGAGGAGTGGCGCCCGAGTCACACACAGAGGAGTGGAGCCCGAGTCACCCAAGAGGAGGGGCGCCCGAGTCACACCGCAGAGGAGTGGCGCCCGAGTCACACCACAGAGGAGTGGCGCCGAGTCACACCACAGAGGAGTGGCGCCACGAGTGACCACCACAGAGGAGTAACCCGAGTCACACCACAGAGGAGTGGCGCCACGAAGTCACACCACGGAGGGAGTGCATCCTGAGTCACACCACAGAGGAGTGGCGCCCGAGTCACACGACAGAGGAAGTGGCGCCCGAGTCACACCGCAGAGGAGTGGCGCCCGAGTCACACCTCACAGAGGAGAGTGGCGCCCGAGTCACACCACGAGGAGTGGCGCCCGAGTCACACCACAGAGGAGTGGCGCCCGAGTCACCACCACAGAGGAAGGCGCCCCGAGTCACACCACAGAGGAGTGGCGGCCCGAGTCACACCACATGAGAGTGGGCGCTCGAGTCACACCACAGAGGAGTGGCGCCCGAGTCACACCACAGAGGAGTGGCGCCCGAGTCACACCACAGAGGAGTGGCGCCCGAGTCACATCACAGAGGAGTGGGGCCAGAGTCACACCACAGAGGAGTGGCGCCCGAGTCACACCACAGAGGAGTGGCGCCCGAGTCACACCACAGAGGAGTGGCGCCCGAGTCACACCACAGAGGAGTGGCGCCCGAGTCACACCACAGAGGAGTGGCGCCCGAGTCACACCACAGAGGAGTGGCGCCCGAGTCACACCACAGAGGAGTGGCGCCCGAGTCACACCACAGAGGAGTGGCGCCCGAGTCACACCACAGAGGAGTGGCGCCCGAGTCACACCACAGAGGAGTGGCGCCCGAGTCACACCACAGAGGGGTGGCGCCCGAGTCACACCACAGAGGAGTGGCGTCCGAGTCACACCACAGAGGAGTGGCGCCCGAGTCACACCACAGAGGAGTGGCGCCCGAGTCACACCACAGAGGAGTGGCGCCCGAGTCACACATCAGAGGAGTGGCGCCGAGTCACACACAGAGGAAGTGGCGCCCCGAGTCACACACAGAGGAGTGGCGCCCGAGTCACACCACAGAGGAGTTGCGCCCGAGTCACACCACAGAGGCAAGTGGCGCCCGAGTCACACCACAGAGGAGTGGCGCCCAAGTCACACCACAGAGGAGTGGCGCCCGAGTCACACCACAGAGGAGTGGCGCCCGAGTCGCCACCACAGAGGAGTGGCGCCCGAGTCACACCACAGAGGAGTGGCGCCTGAGTCACACCACAGAGGAGTGGCGCCCGAGTCACACCACAGAGGAGTGGCGCCCGAGTCACACCACAGAGGAGTGGCGCCCCGAGTCACACCACAGAAGGATGGGCACCCGAGTCACACCACAGAGGAGTGGCGCCGAGTCACACCACAGGGGAGTGGCGCCCGAGTCACACCACAGAGGTAGTGTCGCTCCGAGTCACACCACAGAGGAGTGGCGCCCGATGTCACACCACAGATGAGGGCACCCGAGTCACACCACAGATGAGTGGCCCCGGAGTCACACCACAGAGGAGTGGCGCCCGAGTCACCACCACAGAGGAGTGGCGGCCGAGTCACACCACAGAGGAAGTGGCGCCCAGTCAGTCACACACAGAGGAGTGGCGCCCGAGTCACACACAGAGGAGTGGCGCCCGAGTCACACACAGAGGAGTGGCGCCACCACAGAGGAGTGGCGCCCGAGTCACACCACAGAGGAGTGGCGCCCGAGTCACACCACAGAGGAGTGGCGCCCGAGTCACACCACAGAGGAGTGGCGCCCGAGTCACACACAGAGTGGCGCCCGAGTCACACCACAGAGGAGTGGCGCCCGAGTCACACCACAGAGGAGTGGCGCCCGAGTCACACCACAGAGGAGTGGCGCCCGAGTCACACACAGAGGAGTGGCGCCCGAGTCACACCACAGAGGAGTGGCGCCCGAGTCACACACAGAGGAGTGGCGCCCGAGTCACACCACAGAGGAGTGGCGCCCGAGTCACACCACAGAGGAGTGGCGCCCGAGTCACACACAGAGGGGTGGCGCCCGAGTCACACCACAGAGGAGTGGCGCCCGAGTCACACACAGAGGAGTGGCGCCTGAGTCACACCACAGAGGCGTGGCGCCCGAGTCACACCACAGAGCGTGGCGCCCGAAGTCACACCACAGAGGAAGTGGCGCCCGAGTTCACACCACAGAGGAGTTGCGCCCGAGTCACACCACCAGAGGAGGTGGCGCCCCGAGTCACACCACCGAGGTAGTGGCGCCCTGAGTCACACCACAGAGGAGTTGCGCCCGATCACACCACAGAGTGAGTGGCGCCCGTAAGTCACAACGCAGAGGAGTGGCGCCCGAGTCCACACCACAGAGGAGCTGGCGCCCGAGTCACACCACAGAGGAGTGGCGCCCTGATCACACCACAGAGGAGTGGCGCCCGAGTTCACACCCAGCAGAGGTAGGTGTAGTGGCGCCCGAGTCCCCACCGACAGAGGTAGTGGCGCCGAGTCACACCACAGAGAGTGGCAGGTGGCCCGAGTACACCACAGAGGATGGACGCTCCGAGTCACACCACGAGGAGTGGCGCCCGAGTCACACCACAGTAGGATAGTGGGCGGCTCCGAGTCAACACCACCGAGGAGTGGCTGTCCGAGTCACACCACAGAGTCAGTGGCGCCCGCGCGTCACACCACAGAGGATGTGGCGCCCGAGGTCACACCGCAGAGGAGTGGCGCCCGAGTCACCACCGCCAGGAGGAGTGGCGCCCGAGTCACACCATCAGAGGAGTGGCGCCCGAGTCACAACCACAGAGGAGTGGCGCCGAGTCCACACCACAGAGGAGTGCGCGCCCGAGTCCACACACAGAGGAGTTGCGCCCCGCCCGAAGTCACACCACAGAGGAGTGGCGCCCGAGTCACACCACAGAGGAGTGGCGCCCGAGTTCACACCACAGAGGAGTGGCGCCCGAGTCACACAGCAGAGGAGTGGCGCCCGAGTCACACCACAGAGGAGTGGCGCCCGAGTACACCACAGAGGAGTGGCGCCCGAGTCACACCACAGAGGAGTAGGGCGCCCGAGGCACACCACAGAGGAGTGGCGCCCTAGTCACACCACAGAGGAGTTGGCGCCCGAGTCACACCACAGAGGTAAGTGGCGCACGATCACCCCACAAGAGGAGTAACCGAGTCACACCACAGAGGAGTGGCGCCGAGTCACACCACAGAGGAGTGGCGCCCGAGTCACACCACAGAGGAGTGGCCGCCCGAGTCACACCGCAGAGGAGAGTGGCGCCGAGTCACAACCGCAGAGGAGTGGCGCCCGAGTCACACCATCAGAGGAGTGGCGCCCGAGTCACACCACAGAGGGAGTGGCGCCCGAGTCACACCACAGAGGAATGGCGCCCGAAGTCACACCACAGAGGAGTGGCGCCCGAGTCACACCACAGAGGAGTGGCGCCCGAAGTCACACCACAGAGGAGTGGCGCCCGAGTCACACCACAGAGGAGTGGCGCCCTGAGTCACACCACAGAGGAGTGCGCCCCGAGTCACACTCACAGAGGAGTGGGCGCCCGAGTCAACACCACAGAGGAGTGGCGCCGAGTCACACCACAGAGGAGTGGCCCGAGTCACACCACAGAGGAGTGGCGCCCGAGTCACACCACAGAGAGTGGCGCCCGAGTCACACCACAGAGGAGTGGCGCCCGAGTCACACCACAGAGGATAGTGGCGCCCGAGTCACCCCATCAGAGGAGTGGCGCCGAGTCACACCACAGAGGAGTGGCGCCCGAGTCCACACCACAGAGGAGTGGCGCCCGAGTCACACCACAGAGGGTGGCGCCCGAGTACACCCCAGAGGAGTGCGCGCCCGAAAGGGTCACACCACAGAGGAGTGGCGCCCGGTCACACCACAGAGGAGTGGCGCCCCGAAGTCACACCACAGAGGAGTGGCGCCGAGTCACACCCACAGAGGAGTGGCGCCCGAGTCACACCACAGAGGAGTGGCGCCCCGAGTCACACCACAGAGGAGTGGCGCCCGAGTCACACCACAGAGGAGTGGCGCCCGAGTCACACCACAGAGGAGTGGCGCCCGAGTCACACCACAGAGGAGTGGCGCCCGTAGGTCACACCACAGAGCGTGGCGCCCGAGTCACAGCCCAGAGGAGTGGCGCCGAGTCACACCACAAGGAGTGGCGCCCGAGTCACCCCACAGAGGAGTGGCGCCCGAGTCACACCACAGAGGAGTGGCGCACCGAGTCACACCACAGAGGAGTGGCGCACCGAGTCACACCACAGAGGAGTGGCGCCCAGAGTCCACACCACAGAGGAGTGGCGCCCGAGTCACACCACAGAGAGTGGCGCCCGAGTCACACCACAGAGGAGTGTCGCCCGAGTCACACCACAGAGGAGTGGCGCCCGAGTCACACACAGATGAGTGGCGCCCGAGTCACACCACAGAGGAGTGGCGCCCGAGTCACACCACAGAGGATGTGCGCCCGAAGTCACACCACAGAGGAGTGGCGCCCGAGTCACACCACAGAGGAGTGGCGCCCGAGTCAACCACAGAGGAGTGGCGCCCGAGTCACACACAGAAGTGGCGCCGAGTCACACCACAGAGGAGTGGCGCCGAGTCACACCACAGAGGAGTGGCGCCGAGTCACACCCAGAGGAGTGGCGCCCGAGTCACACCACAGAGGAGTGGCGCCCGAGTCACACACACGAGGAGTGGCGCCCGAGTCACACCACAGAGGAGTGCGCCCGACGTCACAACCAGAGTGGCGCCCGAGTCACACCACAGAGGAGTGGCGCCCGAGGTCACACCACAGAGGAGTGGCGCCCGAGTCACACCACAGAGGAGTGGCGCCCGGAGTCACACCACAGAGGGAGTGGCGCCCGAGTCACACCACAGAGGAGTGGCGCCCGAGTCAACACAGAGGAGCTGGCGCCCGAGTCACACCCACAGAGGAGTGGCGCCCGAGTCACACCACAGAGGAGTGGCGCCCGAGTCACACCCAGAGGGTGGCGCCCGAGTCACACCACAGAGGAGCGGGCGCCCGAGTCACACCACAGAGGAGTGGCGCCCGAGTCACACCACAGAGGAGTGGCGCCCGAGTCACACCACAGATGAGTGGACGGCCCGAGTCACACACAGAGGAAGTGGCGCCCGATGTCAACACACAGAGGAGTGGCGCCCGAGTCACACCACAGAGGAGTGGCGCCCGAGTCACACCACAGAGGAGTGGCGCCCGAGTCACACACAGAGGAGTGGCGCCCCGAGTCACACCACAGAGGAAGTGGCGCCCGAAGTCACACCACAGAGGAGTGGGCGCCCGAGTCCGAGTCACACCACAGATGGAGTGGCGCCCGAGTCACACCACAGAGGAGTGGCGCCCGAGTCACACCACAGAGGAGTGGCGCCCGAGTCACACCAACAGAGGAGTGGCGCCCGGAGTCACACCACAGAGGAGTGGCGCCCGAGTCACACCACAGAGGAGTGGCGCTCCCGAGTCACACCACAGAGGAGTGGCGCCCTAGTCACACCACAGAGAGTTTGGCGCCCGAGTCACACCACAGAGGAGTGGCGCCCGAGTCACACCACAGAGGAGGTGTCGCCCGAGTCACACCACAGAGGAGTGGCGCTCCGAGCACACACAGAGGAGTGGCCGCCCGAGTCACACCACAGAGGAGTGGCGCCCGAGTCACACCACAGAGGAGTGGCGCCCGAGTCACACCACAGAGGAGTGGCGCCCGAGTCACACCACAGAGGAGTTGGCGCCCGAGTCACACCACAGAGGTGTGGCGCCCGAGTCACACCACAGAGGAAGTGGCGCCCGAGTCACACCACAGAGGAGTGGCGCCCGAGTCACACCCTCAGAGGAGTGGCGCCCGAGTCACACACAGAGGAGTGGCGCCCGAGTCACACCACAGGGAGTGGCGCCCGAGTCACACCACAGAGGATGTGGCGCCCGAGTCACACCACAGAGGAGTGGCGCCCGAGTCACACCACAGAGGAGTGGCGCCCGAGTCACACACAGAGGAGTGGCGCCCGAGTCACACCACAGAGGAGTGGCGCCCGAGTCACACCACAGAGGTAGTGGCGCCCGAGTCACACCACAGAGGAGTGGCGCCCGAGTCACACCACAGAGAGTGGCGCCCGAGTGGAGCCCGAGTCACACCACAGAGGAGTGGCGCCCGAGTCACACCACAGAGGAGTGCGCCCGCGTCACACCACAGAGGTGTGGCGCCCGAGTCACACCACAGAGGAGTGGCGCCCCGAGTCACACACAGAGGAGTGGCGCCTCGAGTCACACCACAGAGGAGTGGGCCCCGAGTCACACCACAGAGGAGTGGCGCCTCGAGTCACACACAGAGGAGTGGCGCCCGAGTCACACCACAGAGGAGTGCGCCCCGAGTCACACCACAGAGGATGTGGCGCCCGAGTCACACCACAGAGGAGTGGCGCCCCGAGTCACACCACAGAGGAGTGGCGCCCCGAAGTCCACACACACAGAGGTGTGGCGCCCGAGTCACACCACAGAGGAGTGGCGCCCGACGTCACACCACAGAGGAGTGGCGCCCGAGTCACACCACAGAAGGCAGTGGCGCCCGAGTCACACCACAGAGGAGAGTGGCGCCCCGAGTCACACCACAGAGGAGTGGCGCCCGAGTCACACCACAGAGGAGTGGCGCCCGAGTCACACCACAGAGGATGTGGCGCCCCGAGTCACACCCACAGGATGAGTGGCGCCCGAGTCACACCACAGAGGAGTGGCGCCCCGAGTCACACCACAGAGGAGTGGCGCCCGAGTCACACCACAGAGGAGTGGCGCCCGAGTCACACCACAGAGGAGTGGCGCCCGAGTCACACCACAGAGGAGTGGCGCCCGAGTCACACCACAGAGGAGTGGCGCCCGAGTCACACCACAGAGGAGTGGCGCCCGAGTCACACCACAGAGGAGTGGCGCCCGAGTCACACCACAGAGGAGTGGCGCCCGAGTCACACCACAGAGGAGTGGCGCCCGAGTCACACCACAGAGGAGTGGCGCCCGAGTCACACCACAGAGGAGTGGCGCCCGAGTCACACCACAGAGGAGTGGCGCCCGAGTCACACCACAGAGGAGTGGCGCCCGAGTCACACCACAGAGGAGTGGCGCCCGAGTCACACACAGAGGAGTGGCGCCCGAGTCACACCACAGAGGAGTGGCGCCCGAGTCACACCACAGAGGAGTGGCGCCCGAGTCACACCACAGAGGAGTGGCGCCCGAGTCACACCACAGAGGAGTGGCGCCCGAGTCACACCACAGAGGAGTGGCGCCCGAGTCACACCACAGAGGAGTGGCGCCCGCGTCACACCACAGAGGAGTTGCGCCCGAGTCACACCACAGAGAGTGTGGCGCCCGAGTCACACCACAGAGAATGGCGCCCGAGTCACACCACAGAGGAGTGGCGCCTCTCGAGTCACACCTCAGAGGAGTGGCGGCCCGCGTCACACCACAGAGGAGTGGCGCCCCGAGTTCACACCACCAGAGGAGGTGGCCGCCCGAGTCACACTCACAGAGGAGTTGACCGCCCGAGTCAACCACAGGGTAGTTGCGCTCCGTGAGTCACCACCACAAGGAGTTGTGGCGCCCAGAGTCACACCACAGAGGAGTGGCGCCCTAGTCACACCACAGAGGCGTGGCGCCCAGAGGTCACACCACAGAGGAGTGGCGCCCGAGTCACACCACAGAGGTGTGGCGCCGAGTCACACCACAGAGGAGTGGCGCCCGAGTCACACCACAGAGGTTTGGCGCCCGAGTCACACCACAGAGGAGTGGCGCCCGAGTCACACCACAGAGGTAGGTGCGCCCGAGTCACACCCACAGAAGAGTGGCACCCGAGGTCACACCACAGAGGAGTGGCGCCCGAGTCACACCACAGAGGAGTGGCGCCCGAGTCACACCACAGAGGAGTGGCGCCCGAGTCACACCACAGAGGAGTGTGCGCCCGAGTCACACCTACAGAGGTAGTGGCGCCCGAGTCACACCACAGAGGAGTGGCGCCAGAGTCACACCACAGAGGAGTGGCGCCTGAGTCACACCACAGAGGAGTGGCGCCCGAGTCACACCACAGAGGAGTGGCGCCCGAGTCACCCACAGAGGAGTGGCGCCTGGAGTCACAACCACAGAGGAGTGGCGCCGAGTCACACCACAGAGGAGGTGGCGCCCGAGTCACCCCACAGAGGAGTGGCGCCCGAGTCACACCACAGAGGAGTTGGCGCCCGAGTCACACCACAGAGGAGTGGCGCCCGAGGTCACACCACAGAGGAGTGGCGCCCGAGTCACACCACAGAGGAGTTGGCGCCCGAGTCACACCACAGAGGATAGTGGCGCCCGAGTCACACCACAGAGGAGTGGCGCCCGAGTCACACCACAGAGGAGTGGCGCCCGAGTCACACCACAGAGGAGTGGCGCCCGAGTCACACCACAGAGGAGTGGCCGCCCGAGTCACACCACAGAGGAGTGGCGCCCGAGTCACACCACAGAGGAGTGGCGCCCGAGTCACACACAGAGGAGTTGGCGCCCGAGTCACACCACAGAGGATGTGGCGCCCGAGTCACACCACAGAGGAGTGGCGCCCGAGTCACACCACAGAGGAGTGGCGCCCGAGTCACACCACAGAGGAGTGGCGCCCGAGTCACACACAGAGGAGTGGCGCCCGAGTCACACCACAGAGGAGTGGCGCCCGAGTCACACCACAGAGGAGTGGCGCCCGAGTCACACCACAGAGGAGTTGCGCCCGAGTCACACCACAGAGGAGTGGCGCCCGAGTCACACCACAGAGGAGTGGCGCCCGAGTCACACCACAGAGGAGTGGCGCCCGAGTCACACCACAGAGGAGTGGCGCCCGAGTCACACCACAGAGGAGTGGCGCCCGAGTCACACCACAGAGGAGTGGCGCCCGAGTCACACCACAGAGGAGTGGCGCCCGAGTCACACCACAGAGGAGTGGCGCCCGAGTCACACCACAGAGGAGTGGCGCCCGAGTCACACCACAGAGGAGTGGCGCCCGAGTCACACCACAGAGGAGTGGCGCCCGAGTCACACCACAGAGAGTGGCGCCCGAGTCACACCACAGAGGAGTGGCGCCCCGAGTCACACCACAGAGGAGTGGCGCCCGAGTCACACCACAGAGGAGTGGCGCCCGAGTCACACCACAGAGGAGTGGCGCCCGAGTCACACCACAGAGGAGTGGCGCCTGAGTCACACCACAGAGGAGTGGCGCCCGAGTCACACCACAGAGGAGTGGCGCCCGAGTCACACCACAGAGGAGTTGCGCCCGAGTCACACCACAGAGGGTGGCGCCCGAGTCACACCACAGAGGAGTGGCGCCCGAGTCACACCACAGAGGAGTTGCGCCCCGAGTCACACCACAGAGGAGTGGCGCCCGAGTCACACCACAGAGGAGTGGCGCCCGAGTCACACCACAGAGGAGTGGCGCCCGAGTCACACCACAGAGGAGTGGCGCCCGAGTCACACCACAGAGGAGTGGCGCCCGAGTCACACCACAGAGGAGTGGCGCCCGAGTCACACCACAGAGGAGTGGCGCCCGAGTCACACCACAGAGGAGTGGCGCCGAGTCACACCACAGAGGAGTGGCGCCCGAGTCACACCACAGAGGAGTTGGCGCCCGAGTCACACCACAGAGGAGTGGCGCCCGAGTCACACCACAGAGGAGTGGCGCCCGAGTCACACCACAGAGGAGTGGCGCCCGAGTCACACCACAGAGGAGTTGGCGCCCGAGTCACACCACAGAGGAGTGGCGCCCGAGTCCACACCACAGAGGAGTGTAAGGTTGCGCCCGAGTCACACCACAGAGGAGTGGCGCCCGAGTCACACCACAGAGGAGTGGCGCCCGAGTCACACCACAGAGGAGTGGCGCCCGACGTCACACCACAGAGGAGTGGCGCACGAGTCACACCACAGAGGAGTGGCGCCGAGTCACACCACAGAGGAGTGGCGCCCGAGTCACACCACAGAGGAGTGGCGCCCGAGTCACACCACAGAGGAGTGGCGCCCGAGTCACACCACAGAGGAGTGGCGCCCGAGTCACACCACAGAGGAGTGGCGCCCGAGTCACACCACAGAGGAGTGGCGCCCGAGTCACACCACAGAGGAGTGGCGCCCGAGTCACACCACAGAGGAGTGGCGCCCGAGTCACACCACAGAGGAGTGGCGCCCGAGTCACACCACAGAGGAGTGGCGCCCGAGTCACACCACAGAGGAAGTGGCGCCCGAGTCACACCACAGAGGAGTGGCGCCCGAGTCACACCACAGAGAGTGGCGCCCGAGTCACACCACAGAGGAGTGGCGCCCGAGTCACACCACAGAGGAGTGGCGCCCGAGTCACACCACAGAGGAGTGGCGCCCGAGTCACACCACAGAGGAGTGGCGCCCGAGTCACAACCACAGAGGAGTGGCGCCCGAGTCACACCACAGAGGAGTGGCGCCCGAGTCACACCACAGAGGAGTGGCGCCCGAGTCACACCACAGAGGAGTGGCGCCCGAGTCACACCACAGAGGAGTGGCGCCCGAGTCACACCACAGAGGAGTGGCGCCCGAGTCACACCACAGAGGAGTGGCGCCCGATGTCACACCACAGAGGAGTGGCGCCCGAGTCACACCACAGAGGAGTGGCGCCCGAGTCACACCACAGAGGAGTGGCGCCCGAGTCACACACAGAGGAGTGGCGCCCGAGTCACACCACAGAGGAGTTGCGCCCGAGTCACACCACAGAGAGTGTGGCGCCCGAGTCACACCACAGAGGAGTGGCGCCCGAGTCACACCACAGAGGAGTGGCTGCCCCTTGAGGCCCGAGTCACACCACAGAGGAGTGGCGCCCGAGTCACACCACAGAGGAGTGGCGCCCGAGTCACACCACAGAGGAGTGGCGCCCGAGTCACACCACAGAGGAGTGGCGCCCGAGTCACACCACAGAGGAGTGGCGCCCGAGTCACACCACAGAGGTAGTGGCGCCCGAGTCACACCACAGAGGAGTGGCGCCCGAGTCACACCACAGAGGAGTGGCGCCCGAGTCACACCACAGAGAGTGGCGCCCGAGTCACACCACAGAGGAGTGGCGCCCCGAGTCACACCACAGAGGAGTGGCGCCCGAGTCACACCACAGAGGAGTGGCGCCCGAGTCACACCACAGAGGAGTGGCGCCCGAGTCACACCACAGAGGAGTGGCGCCCGAGTCACACCACAGAGGATTTGGCGCCCGAGTCACACCACAGAGGAGTGGCGCCCGAGTCACACCACAGAGGAGTGGCGCCCGAGTCACACCACAGAGGAGTGGCGCCCGAGTCACACCACAGAGGAGTGGCGCCCGAAGTCACACCACAGAGAGTGGCGCCCGAGTCACACCACAGAGGAGTGGCGCCCGAGTCACACCACAGAGGAGTGGCGCCCGAGTCACACAACAGGTGAAAGGAGTGGCGCCCGCGAGTCACACCACAGAGGAGTGGCGCCCGAGTCACACCACAGAGGAGTGGCGCACGAGTCACACACAGAGAGTGGCGCCCGAGTCACACACAGAGGAGTGGCGCCCGGTCCACACCACAGAGGAGTTGGCGCCAGAGTACACACAGAGGAGTGGGCGCCCGAGTCACACCACAGAGGAGTGGCGCCGAGTCACACCACAGAGGAGGTGGCGCCCGAGTCACACCACAGAGGAGTGGCGCCCGAGTCACACCACAGAGGAAGTGGCGCCCGACGTCACACCACAGAGGAGTGGCGCCCGAGTCACACCACAGAGGAGTGGCGCCCGAGGTCACACCACAGAGGAGTGGCGCCCGAGTCACACCACAGAGGAGTGGCGCCCGAGTCACACACAGAGGAGTGGCGCTCCGAGTCACACCACAGAGGAGTGGCGCCCGAGTCACACCACAGAGGAGTGGCGCCCGAGTCACACCACAGAGGAGTGGCGCCCGAGTCACACCACAGAGGAGTGGCGCCCGAGTCACACCACAGAGGATGTGGCGCCCGAGTCACACCACAGAGGAGTGGCGCCCGAGGTCACACCACAGAGGAGTGGCGCCCGAGTCACACCACAGAGGAGTGGCGCCCGAGTCACACCACAGAGGAGTGGCGCCCGAGTCACACCACAGAGGAGTGGCGCCCGAGTCACACCACAGAGGAGTGGCGCCCGAGTCACACCACAGAGGAGTGGCGCCCGAGTCACACCACAGAGGAGTGGCGCCCGAGTCACACCACAGAGGAGTGGCGCCCGAGTCACACCACAGAGGAGTGGCGCCCGAGTCACACCACAGAGGAGTGGCGCCCGAGTCACAACCACAGAGGAGTGGCGCCCGAGTCACACCACAGAGGAGTGGCGCCCGAGTCACACCACAGAGGAGTGGCGCCCGAGTCACACCACAGAGGAGTGGCGCCCCGAGTCACACACAGAGGAGTGGCGCCCGAGTCACACCACAGAGGAGTGGCGCCCGAGTCACACCACAGAGGAGTGGCGCCCGAGTCACACACAGAGGAGTGGCGCCCGAGTCACACCACAGAGGAGTGGCCGCCCGAGTCACACCTACAGAGGAGTGGCGCCCGAGTCACACCACAGAGGAGTTGCGCCCGAGTCACACCACAGAGGTGTGGCGCCCGAGTCACACCACAGAGGAGTGGCGCCCGAGTCACACCACAGAGGAGTGGCGCCCGAGTCACACCACAGAGGAGTGGCGCCCGAGTCACACCACAGAGGAGTGGCGCCCGAGTCACACCACAGAGGAGTGGCGCCCGAGTCACACCACAGAGGAGTGGCGCCCGAGTCACACCACAGAGGAGTGGCGCCCGAGTCACACCACAGAGGAGTGGCGCCCGAGTCACACCACAGAGGAGTGGCGCCCGAGTCACACCACAGAGGAGTGGCGCCCGAGTCACACCACAGAGGAGTGGCGCCCGAGTCACACCACAGAGGAGTGGCGCCCGAGTCACACCACAGAGGAGTGGCGCCCGAGTCACACCACAGAGGAGTGGCGCCCGAGTCACACCACAGAGGAGTGGCGCCCGAGTCACACCACAGAGGAGTGGCGCCCGAGTCACACCACAGAGGAGTGGCGCCCGAGTCACACCACAGAGGAGTGGCGCCCGAGTCACACCACAGAGGAGTGGCGCCCGAGTCACACCACAGAGGAGTGGCGCCCGAGTCACACCACAGAGGAGTGGCGCCCGAGTCACACCACAGAGGAGTGGCGCCCGAGTCACACCACAGAGGAGTGGCGCCCGAGTCACACCACAGAGGAGTGGCGCCCGAGTCACACCACAGAGGAGTGGCGCCCGAGTCACACCACAGAGGAGTGGCGCCCGAGTCACACCACAGAGGAGTGGCGCCCGAGTCACACCACAGAGGAGTGGCGCCCGAGTCACACCACAGAGGAGTGGCGCCCGAGTCACACCACAGAGGAGTGGCGCCCGAGTCACACCACAGAGGAGTGGCGCCCGAGTCACACCACAGAGGAGTGGCGCCCGAGTCACACCACAGAGGAGTGGCGCCCGAGTCACACCACAGAGGAGTGGCGCCCGAGTCACACCACAGAGGAGTGGCGCCCGAGTCACACCACAGAGGAGTGGCGCCCGAGTCACACCACAGAGGAGTGGCGCCCGAGTCACACCACAGAGGAGTGGCGCCCGAGTCACACCACAGAGGAGTGGCGCCCGAGTCACACCACAGAGGAGTGGCGCCCGAGTCACACCACAGAGGAGTGGCGCCCGAGTCACACCACAGAGGAGTGGCGCCCGAGTCACACCACAGAGGAGTGGCGCCCGAGTCACACCACAGAGGAGTGGCGCCCGAGTCACACCACAGAGGAGTGGCGCCCGAGTCACACCACAGAGGAGTGGCGCCCGAGTCACACCACAGAGGAGTGGCGCCCGAGTCACACCACAGAGGAGTGGCGCCCCGAGTCACACCACAGAGGAGTGGCGCCCGAGTCACACCACAGAGGAGTGGCGCCCGAAGTCACACCACAGAGGAGTGGCGCCCGAGTCACACCACAGAGGAGTGGCGCCCGAGTCACACCACAGAGGAGTGGCGCCCGAGTCACACCCACAGAGGAGTGGCGCCCGAGTCACACCACAGAGGAGTGGCGCCCGAGTCACACCACAGAGGAGTGGCGCCCGAGTCACACCACAGAGGAGTGGCGCCCGAGTCACACCACAGAGGAGTGGCGCCCGAGTCACACCACAGAGGTGTGGCGCCCGAGTCACACCACAGAGGAGTGGCGCCCGAGTCACACCACAGAGGAGTGGCGCCCGAGTCACACCACAGAGGAGTGGCGCCCGAGTCACACCACAGAGGAGTGGCGCCCGAGTCACACCACAGAGGAGTGGCGCCCGAGTCACACCACAGAGGAGTGGCGCCCGAGTCACACCACAGAGGAGTGGCGCCCGAGTCACACCACAGAGGAGTGGCGCCCGAGTCACACCACAGAGGAGTGGCGCCCGAGTCACACCACAGAGGAGTGGCGCCGAGTCACACCACAGAGGAGTGGCGCCCGAGTCACACCACAGAGGAGTGGCGCCCGAGTCACACCACAGAGGAGTGGCGCCCGAGTCACACCACAGAGGAGTGGCGCCCGAGTCACACCACAGAGGAGTGGCGCCCGAGTCACACCACAGAGGAGTGGCGCCCGAGTCACACCACAGAGGAGTGGCGCCCGAGTCACACCACAGAGGAGTGGCGCCCGAGTCACACCACAGAGGAGTGGCGCCCGAGTCACACCACAGAGGAGTGGCGCCCGAGTCACACCACAGAGGAGTGGCGCCCGAGTCACACCACAGAGGAGTGGCGCCCGAGTCACACCACAGAGGAGTGGCGCCCGAGTCACACCACAGAGGAGTGGCGCCCGAGTCACACCACAGAGGAGTGGCGCCCGAGTCACACCACAGAGGAGTGGCGCCCGAGTCACACCACAGAGGAGTGGCGCCCGAGTCACACCACAGAGGAGTGGCGCCCGAGTCACACCACAGAGGAGTGGCGCCCGAGTCACACCACAGAGGAGTGGCGCCCGAGTCACACCACAGAGGTGTGGCGCCCGAGTCACACCACAGAGGAGTGGCGCCCGAGTCACACCACAGAGGAGTGGCGCCCGAGTCACACCACAGAGGAGTTGCGCCCGAGTCCACACCACAGAGGTGTGGCGCCCGAGTCACACCACAGAGGAGTGGCGCCCGAGTCACACCACAGAGGAGTGGTGCCCGAGTCACACACAGAGGAGTGGCGCCCGAGTCACACCACAGAGGAGTGGCGCCCGAGTCACACCTACAGAGGAGTGGCGCCCGAGTCACACCACAGAGGAGTTGCGCCCGAGTCACACCACAGAGGTGTGGCGCCCGAGTCACACCACAGAGGAGTGGCGCCCTAGTCACACCACAGAGGAGTGGCGCCCGAGGTCACACCACAGAGGAGTGGCGCCCGAGTCACACCACAGAGGAGTGGCGGCCCGAGTCACACCACAGAGGAGTGGCGCCCGAGTCACACCACAGAGGATTTGGCGCCCGAGTCACACCACAGAGGAGTAGTGGCGCCCGAGTCACACCACAGAGGAGTGGCGCCCGAGTCACACCACAGAGGAGTGGCGCCCGAGTCACACCACAGAGGTTTGAGGAGTGGCGCCCGAGTCACACCACAGAGGAGTGGCGCCCGAGTCACACCACAGAGGAGTGGCGCCCGAAGTCACACCACAGAGGAGTTGGCGCCCGAGTCACACCACAGAGGAGTGGCGCCCGAGTCACACCACAGAGGAGTGGCGCCCGAGTCACACCACAGAGGAGTGGCGCCCGAGTCACACCACAGAGGAGTGGCGCCCGAGTCACACCACAGAGGAGTGGCGCCCGAGTCACACCACAGAGGAGTGGCGCCCGAGTCACACCACAGAGGTTGGCGCCCGAGTCACACCACAGAGGAGTGGCGCCCGAGTCACACCACAGAGGAGTGGCGCCCGAGTCACACCACAGAGGAGTGGCGCCCGAGTCACACCACAGAGGAGTGGCGCCCGAGTCACACCACAGAGGAGTGGCGCCCGAGTCACACCACAGAGGAGTGGCGCCCGAGTCACACCACAGAGGAGTGGCGCCCGAGTCACACCACAGAGGAGTTGCGCCCGAGTCACACCACAGAGGTGTGGCGCCCGAGTCACACCACAGAGGAGTGGCGCCCGAGTCACACCACAGAGGAGTGGCGCCCGAGTCACACCACAGAGGAGTTGCGCCCGAGTCACACCACAGAGGTGTGGCGCCCGAGTCACACCACAGAGGAGTGGCGCCCGAGTCACACCACAGAGGAGTGGTCGCCCGAGTCACACCACAGAGGAGTGGCGCCCGAGTCACACCACAGAGGAGTGGCGCCCGAGTCACACCACAGAGGAGTGGCGCCCGAGTCACACCACAGGAGGAGTTGCGCCCGAGTCACACCACAGAGGAGTGGCGCCCGAGTCACACCACAGAGGAGTGGCGCCCGAGTCACACCACAGAGGAGTGGCGCCCGAGTCACACCACAGAGGAGTGGCGCCCGAGTCACACCACAGAGGAGTGGCGCCCGAGTCACACCACAGAGGAGTGGCGCCCGAGTCACACCACAGAGGAGTGGCGCCCGAGTCACACCACAGAGGAGTGGCGCCCGAGTCACACCACAGAGGAGTGGCGCCCGAGTCACACCACAGAGGAGTGGCGCCCGAGTCACACCACAGAGGAGTGGCGCCCGAGTCACACCACAGAGGTTTGGCGCCCGAGTCACACCACAGAGGAGTGGCGCCCGAGTCACACCACAGAGGAGTGGCGCCCGAGTCACACCACAGAGGAGTGGCGCCCGAGTCACACCACAGAGGAGTGGCGCCCGAGTCACACCACAGAGGAGTGGCGCCTGAGTCACACCACAGAGGAGTGGCGCCCGAGTCACACCACAGAGGAGTGGCGCCCGAGTCACACCACAGAGGAGTTGCGCCCGAGTCACACCACAGAGGTGTGGCGCCCGAGTCACACCACAGAGGAGTGGCGCCCGAGTCACACCACAGAGGAGTGGCGCCCGAGTCACACCACAGAGGAGTGGCGCCCGAGTCACACCACAGAGGAGTTGCGCCCGAGTCACACCACAGAGGTGTGGCGCCCGAGTCACACCACAGAGGAGTGGCGCCCGAGTCACACCACAGAGGAGTGGCGCCCCGAGTCACACCACAGAGGAGTTGCGCCCGAGTCACACCACAGAGGTGTGGCGCCCGAGTCACACCACAGAGGAGTGGCGCCCTAGTCACACCACAGAGGAGTGGCGCCCGAGTCACACCACACAGGAGTGGTGCCCGAGTCACACCACAGAGGTGTGGCGCCCGAGTCACACCACAGAGGTGTGGCGCCCGAGTCACACCACACAGGAGTGGCGCCCGAGTCACACCACAGAGGAGTGGCGCCCGAGTCACACCACAGAGGAGTGGCGCCCGAGTCACACCACAGAGGAGTGGCGCCCGAGTCACACCACAGAGGAGTGGCGCCCGAGTCACACCACAGAGGAGTGGCGCCCGAGTCACACCACAGAGGTGTGGCGCCCGAGTCACACCACAGAGGAGTGGCGCCCTAGTCACACCACAGAGGAGTGGCGCCCGAGTCACACCACAGAGGAGTGGCGCCCGAGTCACACCACAGAGGAGTGGCGCCCGAGTCACACCACAGAGGTGTGGCGCCCGAGTCACACCACAGAGGAGTGGCGCCCGAGTCACACCACAGAGGAGTGGCGCCCGAGTCACACCACAGAGGAGTGGCGCCCGAGTCACACCACAGAGGAAGTGGCGCCCGAGTCACACCACAGAGGAGTGGCGCCCGAGTCACACCACAGAGGAGTGGCGCCCGAGTCACACCACAGAGGAGTGGCGCCCGAGTCACACCACAGAGGAGTGGCGCCGAGTCACACCACAGAGGAGTGGCGCCCGAGTCACACCACAGAGGAGTGGCGCCCGAGTCACACCACAGAGGAGTGGCGCCCGAGTCACACCACAGAGGAGTGGCGCCCGAGTCACACCACAGAGGAGTGGCGCCCGAGTCACACCACAGAGGAGTGGCGCCCGAGTCACACCACAGAGGAGTGGCGCCCGAGTCACACCACAGAGGAGTGGCGCCCGAGTCACACCACAGAGGAGTGGCGCCCGAGTCACACCACAGAGGAGTGGCGCCCGAGTCACACCACAGAGGAGTGGCGCCCGAGTCACACCACAGAGGAGTGGCGCCCGAGTCACACCACAGAGGAGTGGCGCCCGAGTCACACCACAGAGGAGTGGCGCCCGAGTCACACCACAGAGGAGTGGCGCCCGAGTCACACCACAGAGGAGTGGCGCCCGAGTCACACCACAGAGGAGTGGCGCCCGAGTCACACCACAGAGGAGTGGCGCCCGAGTCACACCACAGAGGAGTGGCGCCCGAGTCACACCACAGAGGAGTGGCGCCCGAGTCACACCACAGAGGAGTGGCGCCCGAGTCACACCACAGAGGAGTGGCGCCCCGAGTCACACCACAGAGGAGTGGCGCCCGAGTCACACCACAGAGGAGTGGCGCCCGAGTCACACACAGAGGAGTGGCGCCCGAGTCACACCACAGAGGTGTGGCGCCCGAGTCACACCACAGAGGAGTGGCGCCCTAGTCACACCACAGAGGAGTGGCGCCCGAGTCACACCACAGAGGAGTGGCGCCCGAGTCACACCACAGAGGTGTGGCGCCCGAGTCACACCACAGAGGAGTGGCGCCCGAGTCACACCACAGAGGAGTGGCGCCCGAGTCACACCACAGAGGAGTGGCGCCCGAGTCACACCACAGAGGAGTGGCGCCCGAGTCACACCACAGAGGAGTGGCACCCGAGTCACACCACAGAGGAGTGGCGCCCGAGTCACACCACAGAGGAGTGGCGCCCGAGTCACACCACAGAGGAGTGGCGCCCGAGTCACACCACAGAGGAGTGGCGCCCGAGTCACACCACAGAGGTTTGGCGCCCGAGTCACACCACAGAGGTTTGGCGCCCGAGTCACACCACAGAGGAGTGGCGCCCGAGTCACACCACAGAGGAGTGGCACCCGAGTCACACCACAGAGGAGTGGCGCCCGAGTCACACCACAGAGGAGTGGCGCCCGAGTCACACCACAGAGGAGTGGCGCCCGAGTCACACCACAGAGGAGTGGCGCCCGAGTCACACCACAGAGGTTTGGCGCCCGAGTCACACCACAGAGGAGTGGCGCCCGAGTCACACCACAGAGGAGTGGCGCCCGAGTCACACCACAGAGGAGTGGCGCCCGAGTCACACCACAGAGGAGTGGCGCCCGAGTCACACCACAGAGGAGTGGCGCCTGAGTCACACCACAGAGGAGTGGCGCCCGAGTCACACCACAGAGGAGTGGCGCCCGAGTCACACCACAGAGGAGTTGCGCCCGAGTCACACCACAGAGGTGTGGCGCCCGAGTCACACCACAGAGGAGTGGCGCCCGAGTCACACCACAGAGGAGTGGCGCCCGAGTCACACCACAGAGGAGTGGCGCCCGAGTCACACCACAGAGGAGTTGCGCCCGAGTCACACCACAGAGGTGTGGCGCCCGAGTCACACCACAGAGGAGTGGCGCCCGAGTCACACCACAGAGGAGTGGTGCCCGAGTCACACACAGAGGAGTGGCGCCCGAGTCACACCACAGAGGAGTGGCGCCCGAGTCACACTACAGAGGAGTGGCGCCCGAGTCACACCACAGAGGAGTTGCGCCCGAGTCACACCACAGAGGTGTGGCGCCCGAGTCACACCACAGAGGAGTGGCGCCCTACTCACACCACAGAGGAGTGGCGCCCGAGTCACACCACAGAGGAGTGGCGCCCGAGTCACACCACAGAGGAGTGGCGCCCGAGTCACACCACAGAGGAGTGGCGCCCGAGTCACACCACAGAGGAGTGGCGCCCGAGTCACACCACAGAGGAGTGGCGCCCGAGTCACACCACAGAGGAGTGGCGCCCGAGTCACACCACAAAGGAGTGGCGCCCGAGTCACACCACAGAGGAGTGGCGCCCGAGTCACACCACAGAGGTTTGGCGCCCGAGTCACACCACAGAGGAGTGGCGCCCGAGTCACACCACAGAGGAGTGGCGCCCGAGTCACACCACAGAGGAGTGGCGCCCGAGTCACACCACAGCGGAGTGGCGCCCGAGTCACACCACAGAGGAGTGGCGCCCGAGTCACACCACAGAGGAGTGGCGCCCGAGTCACACCTCAGAGGAGTGGCGCCCGAGTCACACACAGAGGAGTGGCGCCCGAGTCACACACAGAGGGGTGGCGCCCGAGTCACACCACAGAGGTGTGGCGCCCGATTCACACCACAGAGGAGTGGCGCCCTAGTCACACCACAGAGGAGTGGCGCCCGAGTCACACCACAGAGGAGTGGTGCCCGAGTCACACCACAGAGGTGTGGCGCCCGAGTCACACCACAGAGGAGTGGCGCCCGAGTCACACCACAGAGGTTTGGCGCCCGAGTCACACCACAGAGGAGTGGCGCCCGAGTCACACCACAGAGGAGTGGCGCCCGAGTCACACCACAGAGGAGTGGCACCCGAGTCACACCACAGAGGAGTGGCGCCCGAGTCACACCACAGAGGAGTGGCGCCCGAGTCACACCACAGAGGAGTGGCGCCCGAGTCACACCACAGAGGAGTGGCGCCCGAGTCACACCACAGAGGTTTGGCGCCCGAGTCACACCACAGAGGAGTGGCGCCCGAGTCACACCACAGAGGAGTGGCACCCGAGTCACACCACAGAGGAGTGGCGCCCGAGTCACACCACAGAGGAGTGGCGCCCGAGTCACACCACAGAGGAGTGGCGCCCGAGTCACACCACAGAGGAGTGGCGCCCGAGTCACACCACAGAGGTTTGGCGCCCGAGTCACACCACAGAGGAGTGGCGCCCGAGTCACACCACAGAGGAGTGGCGCCCGAGTCACACCACAGAGGAGTGGCGCCCGAGTCACACCACAGAGGAGTGGCGCCCGAGTCACACCACAGAGGAGTGGCGCCTGAGTCACACCACAGAGGAGTGGCGCCCGAGTCACACCACAGAGGAGTGGCGCCCGAGTCACACCACAGAGGAGTTGCGCCCGAGTCACACCACAGAGGTGTGGCGCCCGAGTCACACCACAGAGGAGTGGCGCCCGAGTCACACCACAGAGGAGTGGCGCCCGAGTCACACCACAGAGGAGTGGCGCCCGAGTCACACCACAGAGGAGTTGCGCCCGAGTCACACCACAGAGGTGTGGCGCCCGAGTCACACCACAGAGGAGTGGCGCCCGAGTCACACCACAGAGGAGTGGTGCCCGAGTCACACACAGAGGAGTGGCGCCCGAGTCACACCACAGAGGAGTGGCGCCCGAGTCACACTACAGAGGAGTGGCGCCCGAGTCACACCACAGAGGAGTTGCGCCCGAGTCACACCACAGAGGTGTGGCGCCCGAGTCACACCACAGAGGAGTGGCGCCCTACTCACACCACAGAGGAGTGGCGCCCGAGTCACACCACAGAGGAGTGGCGCCCGAGTCACACCACAGAGGAGTGGCGCCCGAGTCACACCACAGAGGAGTGGCGCCCGAGTCACACCACAGAGGAGTGGCGCCCGAGTCACACCACAGAGGAGTGGCGCCCGAGTCACACCACAGAGGAGTGGCGCCCGAGTCACACCACAGAGGAGTGGCGCCCGAGTCACACCACAGAGGTTTGGCGCCCGAGTCACACCACAGAGGAGTGGCGCCCGAGTCACACCACAGAGGAGTGGCGCCCGAGTCACACCACAGAGGAGTGGCGCCCGAGTCACACCACAGAGGAGTGGCGCCCGAGTCACACCACAGAGGAGTGGCGCCTGAGTCACACCACAGAGGAGTGGCGCCCGAGTCACACCACAGAGGAGTGGCGCCCGAGTCACACCACAGAGGAGTTGCGCCCGAGTCACACCACAGAGGTGTGGCGCCCGAGTCACACCACAGAGGAGTGGCGCCCGAGTCACACCACAGAGGAGTGGGGCCCGAGTCACACCACAGAGGAGTGGCGCCCGAGTCACACCACAGAGGAGTTGCGCCCGAGTCACACCACAGAGGTGTGGCGCCCGAGTCACACCACAGAGGAGTGGCGCCCGAGTCACACCACAGAGGAGTGGTGCCCGAGTCACACACAGAGGAGTGGCGCCCGAGTCACACCACAGAGGAGTGGCGCCCGAGTCACACTACAGAGGAGTGGCGCCCGAGTCACACCACAGAGGAGTTGCGCCCGAGTCACACCACAGAGGTGTGGCGCCCGAGTCACACCACAGAGGAGTGGCGCCCTAGTCACACCACAGAGGAGTGGCGCCCGAGTCACACCACAGAGGAGTGGCGCCCGAGTCACACCACAGAGGAGTGGCGCCCGAGTCACACCACAGAGGAGTGGCGCCCGAGTCACACCACAGAGGAGTGGCGCCCGAGTCACACCACAGAGGAGTGGCGCCCGAGTCACACCACAGAGGAGTGGCGCCCGAGTCACACCACAGAGGAGTGGCGCCCGAGTCACACCACAGAGGTTTGGCGCCCGAGTCACACCACAGAGGAGTGGCGCCCGAGTCACACCACAGAGGAGTGGCGCCCGAGTCACACCACAGAGGAGTGGCGCCCGAGTCACACCACAGAGGAGTGGCGCCCGAGTCACACCACAGAGGAGTGGCGCCCGAGTCACACCACAGAGGAGTGGCGCCCGAGTCACACCACAGAGGAGTGGCGCCCGAGTCACACCACAGAGGAGTTGCGCCCGAGTCACACCACAGAGGTGTGGCGCCCGAGTCACACCACAGAGGAGTGGCGCCCGAGTCACACCACAGAGGAGTGGCGCCCGAGTCACACCACAGAGGAGTGGCGCCCGAGTCACACCACAGAGGAGTGGCGCCCGAGTCACACCACAGAGGAGTGGCGCCCGAGTCACACCACAGAGGAGTGGCGCCTGAGTCACACCACAGAGGAGTGGCGCCCGAGTCACACCACAGAGGAGTGGCGCCCGAGTCACACCACAGAGGAGTTGCGCCCGAGTCACACCACAGAGGTGTGGCGCCCGAGTCACACCACAGAGGAGTGGCGCCCGAGTCACACCACAGAGGAGTGGCGCCCGAGTCACACCACAGAGGAGTGGCGCCCGAGTCACACCACAGAGGAGTTGCGCCCGAGTCACACCACAGAGGTGTGGCGCCCGAGTCACACCACAGAGGAGTGGCGCCCGAGTCACACCACAGAGGAGTGGTGCCCGAGTCACACACAGAGGAGTGGCGCCCGAGTCACACCACAGAGGAGTGGCGCCCGAGTCACACTACAGAGGAGTGGCGCCCGAGTCACACCACAGAGGAGTTGCGCCCGAGTCACACCACAGAGGTGTGGCGCCCGAGTCACACCACAGAGGAGTGGCGCCCTAGTCACACCACAGAGGAGTGGCGCCCGAGTCACACCACAGAGGAGTGGCGCCCGAGTCACACCACAGAGGAGTGGCGCCCGAGTCACACCACAGAGGAGTGGCGCCCGAGTCACACCACAGAGGAGTGGCGCCCGAGTCACACCACAGAGGAGTGGCGCCCGAGTCACACCACAGAGGAGTGGCGCCTGAGTCACACCACAGAGGAGTGGCGCCCGAGTCACACCACAGAGGTTTGGCGCCCGAGTCACACCACAGAGGAGTGGCGCCCGAGTCACACCACAGAGGAGTGGCGCCCGAGTCACACCACAGAGGAGTGGCGCCCGAGTCACACCACAGAGGAGTGGCGCCCAAGTCACACCACAGAGGAGTGGCGCCCGAGTCACACCACAGAGGAGTGGCGCCCGAGTCACACCACAGAGGAGTGGCGCCCGAGTCACACCACAGAGGAGTTGCGCCCGAGTCACACCACAGAGGTGTGGCGCCCGAGTCACACCACAGAGGAGTGGCGCCCGAGTCACACCACAGAGGAGTGGCGCCCGAGTCACACCACAGAGGAGTGGCGCCCGAGTCACACCACAGAGGAGTTGCGCCCGAGTCACACCACAGAGGTGTGGCGCCCGAGTCACACCACAGAGGAGTGGCGCCCGAGTCACACCACAGAGGAGTGGTGCCCGAGTCACACACAGAGGAGTGGCGCCCGAGTCACACCACAGAGGAGTGGCGCCCGAGTCACACTACAGAGGAGTGGCGCCCGAGTCACACCACAGAGGAGTTGCGCCCGAGTCACACCACAAAGGTGTGGCGCCCGAGTCACACCACAGAGGAGTGGCGCCCTAGTCACACCACAGAGGAGTGGCGCCCGAGTCACACCACACAGGAGTGGTGCCCGAGTCACACCACAGAGGTGTGGCGCCCGAGTCACACCACAGAGGTGTGGCGCCCGAGTCACACCACACAGGAGTGGCGCCCGAGTCACACCACAGAGGAGTGGCGCCCGAGTCACACCACAGAGGAGTGGCGCCCGAGTCACACCACAGAGGAGTGGCGCCCGAGTCACACCACAGAGGAGTGGCGCCCGAGTCACACCACAGAGGAGTGGCGCCCGAGTCACACCACAGAGGTGTGGCGCCCGAGTCACACCACAGAGAAGTGGCGCCCTAGTCACACCACAGAGGAGTGGCGCCCGAGTCACACCACAGAGGAGTGGTGCCCGAGTCACACCACAGAGGTGTGGCGCCCGAGTCACACCACAGAGGTGTGGCGCCCAAGTCACACCACAGAGGAGTGGCGCCCGAGTCACACCACAGAGGAGTGGCGCCCGAGTCACACCACAGAGGAGTGGCGCCCGAGTCACACCACAGAGGAGTGGCGCCCGAGTCACACCACAGAGGAGTGGCGCCCGAGTCACACCACAGAGGAGTGGCGCCCGAGTCACACCACAGAGGAGTGGCGCCCGAGTCACACCACAGAGGAGTGGCGCCCGAGTCACACCACAGAGGAGTGGCGCCCGAGTCACACCACAGAGGAGTGGCGCCCGAGTCACACCACAGAGGAGTGGCGCCCGAGTCACACCACAGAGGAGTGGCGCCCGAGTCACACCACAGAGGAGTGGCGCCCGAGTCACACCACAGAGGAGTGGCGCCCGAGTCACACCACAGAGGAGTGGCGCCCGAGTCACACCACAGAGGAGTGGCGCCCGAGTCACACCACAGAGGAGTGGCGCCCGAGTCACACCACAGCGGAGTGGCGCCCGAGTCACACCACAGAGGAGTGGCGCCCGAGTCACACCACAGAGGAGTGGCGCCCGAGTCACACCTCAGAGGAGTGGCGCCCGAGTCACACACAGAGGAGTGGCGCCCGAGTCACACACAGAGGGGTGGCGCCCGAGTCACACACAGAGGAGTGGCGCCCGAGTCACACACAGAGGGGTGGCGCCCGAGTCACACCACACAGGAGTGGCGCCTGAGTCACACACAGAGGAGTGGCGCCCGAGTCACACCACAGAGGAGTGGCGCCCGAGTCACACACAGAGGAGTGGCGCCCGAGTCACACCACAGAGGAGTGGCGCCCGAGTCACACCACAGAGGAGTGGCGCCCGAGTCACACCACAGAGGAGTGGCGCCCGAGTCACACCACAGAGGAGTTGCGCCCGAGTCACACCACAGAGGTGTGGCGCCCGAGTCACACCACAGAGGAGTGGCGCCCGAGTCACACCACAGAGGAGTGGCGCCCGACTCACACCACAGAGGAGTGGCGCCCGAGTCACACACAGAGGAGTGGCGCCCGAGTCACACCACAGAGGAGTGGCGCCCGAGTCACACACAGAGGAGTGGCGCCCGAGTCACACCACAGAGGAGTGGCGCCCGAGTCACACCACAGAGGAGTGGCGCCCGAGTCACACCACACAGGTTTGGCGCCCGAGTCACACCACAGAGGAGTGGCGCCCGAGTCACACCACAGAGGAGTGGCGCCCGAGTCACACCACAGAGGAGTGGCGCCCGAGTCACACCACAGAGGAGTGGCGCCCGAGTCACACCACAGAGGAGTGGCGCCTGAGTCACACCACAGAGGAGTGGCGCCCGAGTCACACCACAGAGGAGTGGCGCCTGAGTCACACCACAGAGGAGTGGCGCCCGAGTCACACCACAGAGGTGTGGCGCCCGAGTCACACCACAGAGGAGTGGCGCCCGAGTCACACCACAGAGGAGTGGCGCCCGAGTCACACCACAGAGGAGTGGCGCCCGAGTCACACCACAGAGGAGTTGCGCCCGAGTCACACCACAGAGGTGTGGCGCCCGAGTCACACCACAGAGGAGTGGCGCCCGAGTCACACCACAGAGGAGTGGTGCCCGAGTCACACACAGAGGAGTGGCGCCCGAGTCTCACCACAGAGGAGTGGCGCCCGAGTCACACTACAGAGGAGTGGCGCCCGAGTCACACCACAGAGGAGTTGCGCCCGAGTCACACCACAGAGGTGTGGCGCCCGAGTCACACCACAGAGGAGTGGCGCCCTAGTCACACCACAGAGGAGTGGCGCCCGAGTCACACCACAGAGGAGTGGCGCCCGAGTCACACCACAGAAGAGTGGCGCCCGAGTCACACCACAGAGGAGTGGCGCCCGAGTCACACCACAGAGGAGTGGCGCCCGAGTCACACCACAGAGGAGTGGCGCCCGAGTCACACCACAGAGGAGTGGCGCCCGAGTCACACCACAGAGGAGTGGCGCCCGAGTCACACCACAGAGGTTTGGCGCCCGAGTCACACCACAGAGGAGTGGCGCCCGAGTCACACCACAGAGGAGTGGCGCCCGAGTCACACCACAGAGGAGTGGCGCCCGAGTCACACCACAGAGGAGTGGCGCCCGAGTCACACCACAGAGGAGTGGCGCCCGAGTCACACCACAGAGGAGTGGCGCCCGAGTCACACCACAGAGGAGTGGCGCCCGAGTCACACCACAGAGGAGTTGCGCCCGAGTCACACCACAGAGGTGTGGCGCCCGAGTCACACCACAGAGGAGTGGCGCCCGAGTCACACCACAGAGGAGTGGCGCCCGAGTCACACCACAGAGGAGTGGCGCCCGAGTCACACCACAGAGGAGTTGCGCCCGAGTCACACCACAGAGGTGTGGCGCCCGAGTCACACCACAGAGGAGTGGCGCCCGAGTCACACCACAGAGGAGTGGTGCCCGAGTCACACACAGAGGAGTGGCGCCCGAGTCACACCACAGAGGAGTGGCGCCCGAGTCACACTACAGAGGAGTGGCGCCCGAGTCACACCACAGAGGAGTTGCGCCCGAGTCACACCACAGAGGTGTGGCGCCCGAGTCACACCACAGAGGAGTGGCGCCCTAGTCACACCACAGAGGAGTGGCGCCCGAGTCACACCACACAGGAGTGGTGCCCGAGTCACACCACAGAGGTGTGGCGCCCGAGTCACACCACAGAGGTGTGGCGCCCGAGTCACACCACACAGGAGTGGCGCCCGAGTCACACCACAGAGGAGTGGCGCCCGAGTCACACCACAGAGGAGTGGCGCCCGAGTCACACCACAGAGGAGTGGCGCCCGAGTCACACCACAGAGGAGTGGCGCCCGAGTCACACCACAGAGGAGTGGCGCCCGAGTCACACCACAGAGGTGTGGCGCCCGAGTCACACCACAGAGGAGTGGCGCCCTAGTCACACCACAGAGGAGTGGCGCCCGAGTCACACCGAAGAGGAGTGGCGCCCGAGTCACACCGCAGAGGAGTGGCGCCCGAGTCAAACCACAGAGGAGTGGCGCTTGAGTCACACCGCAGAGGAGTGGCGCCCGAGTCACACCACAGAGGAGTGGCACCCAAGTCACACGCAGAGGAGTGGCTCCCAACTCACACCACAGAGGAGTGGCGCCCGAGTCACACCACAGAGGAGTGGCGCCCGAGTCACACCACAGAGGAGTGGCGCCCGAGTCACACCACAGAGGAGTGGCGCCCGAGTCACACCGCAGAGGAGTGGCGCCCGAGTCACACCACAGAGGAGTGGCGCCCGAGTCACACCTCAGAGGAGTGGCGCCCGAGGCACACACAGAGGAGTGGCGCCTGAGTCACACACAGAGGGGTGGCGCCCGAGTCACACCACAGAGGAGTGGCGCCCGAGTCACACACAGAGGAGTGGCGCCCGAGTCACACCACAGAGGAGTGGCGCCCGAGTCACACACGGAGGAGTGGCGCCCGAGTCACACCACAGAGGAGTGGCGCCCGAGTCACACCACAGAGGAGTGGCGCCCGAGTCACACCACAGAGGAGTGGCGCCCGAGTCACACCACAGAGGAGTTGCGCCCAAGTCACACCACAGAGGTGTGGCGCCCGAGTCACACCACAGAGGAGTGGCGCCCGAGTCACACCACGGAGGAGTGGCGCCCGAGTCACACCACAGAGGAGTGGCGCCCGAGTCACACACAGAGGAGTGGCGCCCGAGTCACACCACAGAGGAGTGGCGCCCGAGTCACACCACAGAGGAGTGGCGCCCGAGTCACACCACAGAGGAGTGGCGCCCGAGTCACACCACAGAGGAGTGGCGCCCGAGTCACACCACAGAGGAGTGGCGCCCGAGTCACACCACAGAGGAGTTGCGTCCGAGTCACACCACAAAGGTGTGGCGCCCGAGTCACACCACAGAGGAGTGGCGCCCAAGTCACACCACAGAGGAGTGGCGCCCGAGTCACACCACAGAGGAGTGGCGCCCGAGTCACACACAGAGGAGTGGCGCCCGAGTCACACCACAGAGGAGTGGCGCCCGAGTCACACCACAGAGGAGTGGCGCCCGAGTCACACCACAGAGGAGTTGCGCCCGAGTCACACCACAGAGGTGTGGCGCCCGAGTCACACCACAGAGGAGTGGCGCCCGAGTCACACCACAGAGGAGTGGCGCCCGAGTCACACACAGAGGAGTGGCGCCTGAGTCACACACAGAGGGGTGGCGCCCGAGTCACACCACAGAGGAGTGGCGCCCGAGTCACACACAGAGGAGTGGCGCCCGAGTCACACACAGAGGAGTGGCGCCCGAGTCACACACAGAGGAGTGGCGCCCGAGTCACACCACAGAGGAGTGGCGCCCGAGTCACACCACAGAGGAGTGGCGCCCGAGTCACACCACAGAGGAGTGGCGCCCGAGTCACACACAGAGGAGTGGCGCCCGAGTCACACCACAGAGGAGTGGCGCCCGAGTCACACCACAGAGGAGTGGCGCCCGAGTCACACCACAGAGGAGTGGCGCCCGAGTCACACCACAGAGGAGTTGCGCCTGAGTCACACCACAGAGGTGTGGCGCCCGAGTCACACCACAGAGGAGTGGCGCCCGAGTCACACCACAGAGGAGTGGCGCCTGAGTCACACACAGAGGAGTGGCGCCCGAGTCACACCACAGAGGAGTGGCGCCCGAGTCACACACAGAGGAGTGGCGCCCGAGTCACACCACAGAGGAGTGGCGCCCGAGTCACACACAGAGGAGTGGCGCCCTAGTCACACCACAGAGGAGTGGCGCCCGAGTCACACCACAGAGGAGTGGCGCCCGAGTCACACCACAGAGGAGTGGCGCCCGAGTCACACCACAGAGGAGTTGCGCCCGAGTCACACCACAGAGGTGTGGCGCCCGAGTCACACCACAGAGGAGTGGCGCCCGAGTCACACCACAGAGGAGTGGCGCCCGAGTCACACCACAGAGGAGTGGCGCTCGAGTCACACACAGAGGAGTGGCGCCCGAGTCACACCACAGAGGAGTGGCGCCCGAGTCACACACAGAGGAGTGGCGCCCGAGTCACACCACAGAGGAGTGGCGCCCGAGTCACACCACAGAGGAGTGGCGCCCGAGTCACACCACAGAGGAGTGGCGCCCGAGTCACACCACAGAGGAGTTGCGTCCGAGTCACACCACAAAGGTGTGGCGCCCGAGTCACACCACAGAGGAGTGGCGCCCGAGTCACACCACAGAGGAGTGGCGCCCGAGTCACACCACAGAGAAGTGGCGCCCGAGTCACACACAGAGGAGTGGCGCCCGAGTCACACCACAGAGGAGTGGCGCCCGAGTCACACCACAGAGGAGTGGCGCCCGAGTCACACCACAGAGGAGTGGCGCCCGAGTCACACCACAGAGGAGTTGCGCCCGAGTCACACCACAGAGGTGTGGCGCCCGAGTCACACCACAGAGGAGTGGCGCCCGAGTCACACCACAGAGGAGTGGCGCCCGAGTCACACCACAGAGGAGTGGCGCCCGAGTCACACACAGAGGAGTGGCGCCCGAGTCACACCACAGAGGAGTGGCGCCCGAGTCACACACAGAGGAGTGGCGCCCGAGTCACACCACAGAGGAGTGGCGCCCGAGTCACACCACAGAGGAGTGGCGCCCGAGTCACACCACAGAGGAGTGGCGCCCGAGTCACACCACAGAGGAGTTGCGTCCGAGTCACACCACAAAGGTGTGGCGCCCGAGTCACACCACAGAGGAGTGGCGCCCGAGTCACACCACAGAGGAGTGGCGCCCGAGTCACACCACAGAGGAGTGGCGCCCGAGTCACACACAGAGGAGTGGCGCCCGAGTCACACCACAGAGGAGTGGCGCCCGAGTCACACCACAGAGGAGTGGCGCCCGAGTCACACCACAGAGGAGTGGCGCCCGAGTCACACCACAGAGGAGTTGCGCCTGAGTCACACCACAGAGGTGTGGCGCCCGAGTCACACCACTGAGGAGTGGCGCCCGAGTCACACCACAGAGGAGTGGCGCCTGAGTCACACACAGAGGAGTGGCGCCCGAGTCACACCACAGAGGAGTGGCGCCCGAGTCACACTACAGAGGAGTGGCGCCCGAGTCACACCACAGAGGAGTTGCGCCCGAGTCACACCACAGAGGTGTGGCGCCCGAGTCACACCACAGAGGAGTGGCGCCCGAGTCACACCACAGAGGAGTGGCGCGCGAGTCACACCACAGAGGAGTGGTGCCCGAGTCACTCCACAGAGGTGTGGCGCCCGAGTCACACCACAGAGGTGTGGCGCCCGAGTCACACCACAGAGGAGTGGCGCCCGAGTCACACCACAGAGGAGTGGCGCCCGAGTCACACCACAGAGGAGTGGCGCCCGAGTCACACCACAGAGGAGTGGCGCCCGAGTCACACCATACAGGAGTGGCGCCCGAGTCACACCACAGAGGAGTGGCGCCCGAGTCACACCACAGAGGAGTGGCGCCCGAGTCACACCGAAGAGGAGTGGCGCCCGAGTCACACCGCAGAGGAGTGGCGCCCGAGTCACACCACAGAGGAGTGGCGCCCGAGTCACACCTCAGAGGAGTGGCGCCCGAGTCACACACAGAGGAGTGGCGCCCGAGTCACACAAAGAGGGGTGGCGCCCGAGTCACAACACAGAGGAGTGGCGCCCGAGTCACACACAGAGGAGTGGCGCCCGAGTCACACCACAGAGGAGTGGCGCCCGAGTCACACCACAGAGGAGTGGCGCCCGAGTCACACCACAGAGGAGTTGCGCCCGAGTCACACCACAGAGGTGTGGCGCCCGAGTCACACCACAGAGGAGTGGCGCCCGAGTCACACCACAGAGGAGTGGCGCCTGAGTCACACACAGAGGAGTGGCGCCCGAGTCACACCACAGAGGAGTGGCGCCCGAGTCACACTACAAAGGAGTGGCGCCCGAGTCACACCACAGAGGAGTTGCGCCCGAGTCACACCACTGAGGTGTGGCGCCCGAGTCACACCACAGAGGAGTGGCGCCCGAGTCACACCACAGAGGAGTGGCGCCCGAGTCACACCACAGAGGAGTGGCACCCGAGTCACACCACAGAGGAGTGGCGCCCGAGTCACACCACAGAGGTTTGGCGCCCGAGTCACACCACAGATGAGTGGCGCCCGAGTCACACCACAGAGGAGTGGCGCCCGAGTCACACCACAGAGGAGTGGCGCCCGAGTCACACCACAGAGGAGTGGCGCCCGAGTCACACCACAGAGGAGTGGCGCCCGAGTCACACCACAGAGGAGTGGCGCCCGAGTCACACCACAGAGGAGTGGCGCCCGAGTCACACCACAGAGGAGTGGCGCCCGAGTCACACCACAGAGGAGTGGCGCCCGAGTCACACCACAGAGGAGTGGCGCCCGAGTCACACCACAGAGGAGTGGCGCCCGAGTCACACCAGCCAAGGACGGCAGCCTGTACTTCTTGCTGCTGAAGGACCGCAAGACCCGCTACGTGTGGGTGAAGCCGGTCGCCAAGAAGTCCGATGCGTTGCAGGCGTTCGTACAGTGGCTGGCGGTGGCTGAGCGGCAGACGAAGAAGTCGGTGTTGATGCTGCGTTCTGACCGGGGAGGGGAGTTCCTCGGGAAGCAGTTCACCGACTTCGTGAACGGCAAGGGGATCGTCCACGACCTGACCTGCCCATACACCCCGCAGCAGAACGGCATGGCGGAGCGGGAGAGGAGGACGGTGGTGGAGTCGGTGCAGACAATGCTGCTGCACATGGGTGTGCAGCACCACTGGTGGCACCTCGCTCTGCGGCAGGCCGTCTGGGTCCGCAACTGCCTTGAGAGGTCGACGCTGCCGCCGGGGACGATGCCGTACCAGCTGCTGACCGGGAAGAAGCCCGACTTGTCGCTGGCGCGGGTGTGGGGCTGCATGGCGCAGTTCCTTGTCCCTGAGCAGCTGCGTGGTGGGAAGCTGAAGCCGAAGGCCAAGTGGGGCCTGCACCTTGGCGTGTCGGCGGCGAGCAAGGGCTGGGAGCTCCTTGACGTCGTCACTGACCGAGTGGTCACCACGTCGGACGTGGTGTTTTACGAGGAGATGTCGCTGGCCGAGTGGAGGACGGCGCATGGGCCGGTGTCCGGCCGCTCGTCGTCCACCCCGCCCTCTGACACCTCGTCGGCGACGCTACCGCTGCTTGCCGAGGTCGGTGAGCTTGCTACTGCGGACGTCGAGGACGTCCGCACCTCTACCCCTCACCCTCTGACCCCTGCCCCTCCCCTCGTGGCCGACCTGCGTGGGCTGACCTCGGTGTCGGCCTCCGGCGATGAGGGGAGTAGTGGGACGCCGCCTTCGGCGCCGGCCAAGTGCATCGCCGGTGGCCGACGTGACGAGCGGCGAATCAACGTGGGATTGCAGTCGACATGGGAGCAGCAGGTTGAGGAGCAGCAGCCGACAAGGGAGCAGGCTGCCGTGAAGCCGACCACGGAGCAGTCGGCGACCGGGACGTCGGCAGGGGAGCCGACCACAGGGGAGAAGTCGGCTGGGAAGCCGACCACAGTGGAGCAGTCGCCTGGGACGCCGGCTGAGGAGCAGCAGGACGCCGAGGGCAGCGACGACAGTGACGATGGAGGGGACGCCGCGGAGGTCCAGCAGGGACCACGGCGTTCAGGCCGACTTCAGAGGCCGCCTGACTTCTTCGTCCCCGCTTCCTTCACCATGGTATATGACGTGGACGATGACGACGACCTGCTGTACGACGACGCCGAGGAGGATGAGGAGTTTCCGGAGCTCGACCCCGACATGCTAGCTGACCCCGAGCACCGTTGGGACATCTCGACGATGACGGTGAAGGAGGCGTTGGTGAGCTGGAAGGGCCCGGCGGTAAAGGCCGCCATGGAGGAGGAGATCCGCAGCCTCATCAACATGGGCACTTGGGAGCTGGTCGAACGCCCGCCGGGAGTGAACGTCATGAAGAACCGGTGGGTGTTGACGACGAAGTACCACATCGACGACACCGTCGAGCGAGAGAAGGCGAGGCTGGTCGTGAAGGGCTTCACACAGGTGTACGGCGCCGACTACGACGAGACGTTCGCGCCGGTGAGCAGCTACGTCACGCTGAGGATCTTCCTCAGCATCGTCGCCGTCCTCAACCTCAACCTGATGCAGCTCGACATGAAGAACGCCTTGCTGCAGAGCAAGCTCGATCGGGTGCTGTACATGTCCCAGCCGGACTATTTCAACGACGGAACCGGCCGGGTGTGTAAGCTGCTGAAGAGCCTGTACGGGCTTAAGCAGTCGCCGCTGTTGTGGTACTTGGCGCTCAACGATGTGCTGGTCGGCGCTGGGTGGAAGAAGAGCCAGGTCGACGAGGCTCTCTACTTCAAGTTCGACGAGGGTGGAGTAGCCTGCTGGGTGCTGGTCTACGTCGACGACTTGCTTGCCGCCAGCAGCAGCGCCGCGTTGCTGAAGGAGCTGAAGGAGCTGCTGGAAGCCGCCTTCGAGCTGCGTGAGATCTCGCCGGTGCAGAAGTACCTCGGGCTGGAGATCGTGCGCGACAGAACGGCGGGGAAGCTGTGGCTGCACCAGCAAGGCTACGCCGACAAGCTGCGTAGGCGCTTCCTCGACGAGGAGCAGACCGGGCGCACCCCGAAGACACCGGTCTCGGTCGATGCCTACGCCGAGCTCACCTTCGATGACGAGGAGGCGCAGGAACGGCAGGAGGAGGAGTACCGGCAGAAGGTCGGCTCGCTGCAGTTCGCGGCGACGACGACGAGGCCGGACGTCGCCCTTGCCTGCAGCAAGCTGGGGAGCGGCCTCACGGTGAGGAGCGACCAGCAATGGCGCGAGGTCGACCGCTGCCTCGCCTACCTCGCCAACACATGTGATACCGCTCTGGAGTTCGGCGGTGGACCTGAGTCGCTGGAGCTGGTCGGCTACGTGGACGCCGATGACGCCGGTGACAAGCAGAACAGGACGAGCACGAGCGGCTATGTGTTCGTCTACGGAGGGGCCGCAGTCTCCTGGTCGAGCCAGCGCATCAAGTGCGCGACACTGTCGTCGATCGAGTCGGAGTACGTGGCGGCCACTGAAGCTGGCAAGGAGGGACGCCGCCTTCGCTTCCTCCTCGCCGAGTTCCAGCAGCTGGATGCCGGGAAGCCGACTGTCCTGCGTGTGGACAACAAGTCGGCCATCACGGGGCATGGGGTTGACGGGCAACCTCAAGCACATGGAACGGCGACAGGCCTGGCTGCAGCACATGGTGAGGCGCGGGAAGTTCTCGCTGCAGTACATCCCGACCGCTGAGCAGCCGGCTGACTTCCTGACGAAGGCGCTGCACTATCCGGCCTTCAACCGGTGCTCCGTCGCAATCGGCCAAGTGCGCTTGGCCGACGTGGGCGACGGCGACAACGACGTGCAGCAGTAGGTGCCATGCCCTTTTGCATGGCTGGTGCGGTGGACGACGTGCTATGTGTTGGGTGCATGTCGACGAGCGAGTCTCCGAGCTGTACTGCCGTGTGGGCTGGGTGCCCAAGCGTGAACGCGGCAGGGGAGTGTCAACGGGAGTTGGGTATTGGCCCCGTCCTCACTTGGGCGGAGCCGACTTCGTGGTCGGGTGTGAGGGGAGCAGCCGACCTGCAGCAGTGGGTGAGCTGGTCGACGAGGAGGTCGATCTGCATGGGGGACCACTGCCCTGGCGCCGACTTTAGGGTGGCGCCGACTTCAGGGAGGTCGACTTGGGAGTCGACCTGCAGAGGACGTCAACTTGGTGACGTCAACCTGGCGAAGCCGACTTCGGCAGTCGGCTAACGGACCTGGTGGTCGACGAAGGAGGGGCCGGCGTCGACCTCGACTCAGGACGCCGAGCAGTTGGGCGTCGAGTAGCGGGGCGTCAACTTCGTGGCGCCAACTTCGGGTGGCCGACGTGGGTGGTCGGCCGACGACTATGCTGGTTGACGAGGAGCAGGTCGACCAGGAGTACTGGTCGACGTGGAGTTGGTCGACCAGAGGGGACGTCGACCTGGAGGAGGTTGACGTGGAGGTGGTCGTCGACCTGGGAGGTCGACGGGCACGTACGGGAGCTGCTGGTCGACGTGGTTCCCTAGTCGACCAGGTTACCTGGGTAACGAAGTGCTGCAGAGGAGTGTGGCGGTCGCCCAGGCGGAGTTGGCGAGCCTGATCTCGGTGCTGGTATCCCGAGGTCGTCGTGACGGATCAGAGGCAGTCACCAGCTCAAGGTTGACGTGGTGTGTGCGCCGTGCAGGTGACGAGACCCTGCGCGCCAATCATTTGCGCACAACTGTGAAGCAGGGTACACTGCTGTCCTGCGTGAGCAACGCTGTCGACCTTGCCTTGCTGGAGCGCGGTCGACCAAGTCGTGCTGGAACGCGGTCGACCAAGCTGCGCTGGCAGTTGGCCGACCTGAATGCTTGCTCTGATGTAGTCTTGCTATGCCAACTTCATTGTACCAATTGTTCTGAACTTTTCCTAGTGAAACTCTTGCCAATTTTCCCCGTGAACTAGCAAGTAGTGTGTGCACAAGGAAAACGACTAAGGACTAACGAACGCAGAGATCACACGAGCACACGTGCCTAGCCCGCAGCCTAGATCCCGTTGCTGCAGTTATCTTCGCAGAAACACCTTCACCAGGTGCTGGATGGCGTCACTACGAGACAACCATCGGACGTCCTTGATGCCTTGGACTTCGAGGTGGGTCTGGCAAACGTTGGGTCCACACCACTTTTCTGCCCCTTGATTTTCTCCTCGTGCAGTCGGTATCGATGGCTGACCGATGTGTCGTCGGAAGATGTGCCAGCAACGAGGACCTCACGGAACTCCCCTGATGCGTTCTTGACGAGGAACGGGCCCAACGCGTCTCCACCCTGGCCAAAATTCGCGTCGTCGCAGTCGAGGTAACGTGTGCGCAGCGATAAGGTGGTGATGTGCACCATCGGCAGCACATGGGCTGCGTCGACCTGTAAACAGGGTTGCAACGGCAGGATGTTATTAAATGTATAGTAAAACAACAAACAATAAGTCGAGAAACCTGCTCACCTGGCGCCGCTGAAACTTCAAGCTGAGAAGGTTGAGCTCCTTCAGGACATCAGCAAGGAAGAAGAGCAGGAAATGGAATTTGTAGCTCGTTACGACTTGATACATCTTCTTGTTTGTCTCGTGCTAGACCATCACTGCTGCAGGAAACTGTCAACGGGAGTTGGGTATTGGCCCCGTCCTCACTTGGGCGGAGCCGACTTCGTGGTCGGGTGTGAGGGGAGCAGCCGACCTGCAGCAGTGGGTGAGCTGGTCGACGAGGAGGTCGATCTGCACGGGGGACCACTGCCCTGGCGCCGACTTTAGGGTGGCGCCGACTTTAGGGAGGTCGACTTGGGAGTCGACCTGCAAAGGACGTCAACTTGGTGACGTCAACCTGGCGAAGCCGACTTTGGCAGTCGGCTAACGGACCTGGTGGTCGACGAAGGAGGGGCCGACGTCGACCTCGACTCAGGACGCCGAGCAGTTGGGCGTCGAGTAGCGGGGCGTCAACTTCGTGGCGCCAACTTCGGGTGGCCGACGTGGGTGGTCGGTCAACGACTATGCTGGTCGACGAGGAGCAGGTCGACCAGGAGTACTGGTCGACGTGGAGTTGGTCGACCAGAGGGGACGTCGACCTGGAGGAGGTTGACGTGGAGGTGGTCGTCGACCTGGGAGGTCGACGGGCACGTACGGGAGCTGCTGGTCGACGTGGTTCCCTAGTCGACCAGGTTACCTGGGTAACGAAGTGCTGCAGAGGAGTGTGGCGGTCGCCCAGGCGGATTTGGCGAGCCTGATCTCGGTGCTGGTATCCCGAGGTCGTCGTGACGGATCAGAGGCAGTCACCAGCTCAAGGTTGACGTGGTGTGTGCGCCGTGCAGGTGACGAGACCCTGCGCGCCAATCATCTGCGCACAACTGTGAAGCAGGGTGCACTGCTGTCCTGCGTGAG